CTCCTTGTCTTCCTCCCACCTTCCCTCCCTCCCTCCTCCCTCTTCGCAAGTTCGACTCCGTCCTGTCGTCGCTCTTTGGCATGCGGTTAGCGTTGCGTATCTTGCGGCCGCACTCGCTCACTCTCACTGTCTCACTGTCTCTCTCTCTCTCTCATCTCTCTCATCTCTCTCATCTCTCTCATCTCTTTCTCATCTCTCTCATCTCTCTCTCCTCTCTCTCTCTCTCTCTCCTCTCTGTCTCTCGTCTTTCCGTCTCTCTTCTCTCTCTTCTCTCGCAGGAGGATCCGGGCAAAGAGCCACATATAAAGGACTCTTCACCCCTGCCTCCAAAAAGAGCGCCGTGTTTTTTCCTACCTCGCTGCCCTCCACTTTCCCATTCTGGAGCGCTAGCTTTCGCCCCCCCCGTTTGGCCTCAAGTCTCAGCATTAAGATGTGCCGCTTCAAGTACATATGTGGTTGCAGACGTGCAGGACTTATCCAGTGCAAGTTGGGTAGCAAAGTAGCTCTAGGACCTGGGATATTTTGTGAAGTGAGTCACACACGAAGTAAACGCTATGCAAAAAGACGTTGGGCAATCCTGGCTTTGAGTGAGCAGTTTGACCACCTGCAGAGCTGAAACAGTGACGCTGATTGAAAACAAAAAACTGCTAGGACCATGTAGGGCCCGTTTTGGTGTGTACAGCAAAGGGCATCGCTACTAGGAGCAAGGACGCTACTAATAGCTCCTGGCCGTACTACTAGCAAGAATCAGCTTACTAGGAGCTAGAAGCTTCCTTGGGAATCGTTGCACCCACCGGCCTTGCCAAGTCGGCCCAGTTACTACATCTTGACCTTGCCAGAAGAGGGCCTGTCCGGCACTCAGACTTTCGGACCATCCCGACGAGGGACTCAGTGGGCTGAAGACCCGTGTGAAGAGGACCTGAACAAGACCATTTCAACGCTGACACATGCTGACATGCCAAATCTGATGAAATCATACATGCCATGCCAAATGCTGAACGCCTTCTTAGCATGGCTGCTCTAGTAACGGTATTGCATGGTATTGCCCTTTCTTTGGCATCTTTGTCCTGGAGCTTGGTGTGCATCTCTTTGGAATCGATTGCAGGACTGTCGCTCAATTGGGTGAGCTCCAAACCTCAGTCAAGGCTTTTGTCCTTTGAGTTCCACCCTCCGCCCTCTTTCAAGCGACTCGAGCCCAGAACCCAGCGCTTCCGCGGCGCCCATCACGGTCGCCCTCCAGCCGACCCATTCAGGCTCTATGAGACGTCGCCCAACTTCCGGAGCTTCGGCTCGGCGCCGCTGATGGCGCCCGAGCCGATCGGTCCCCATTTGCTGCCCTTGCTGGTCACGGACCCCAAGCACCAGGCGAGGCGGAGAGGGTCGGACGGTCCGTGTGGGTGGAGGGAAAGGGCGGTCCATGTTGGGGCGTTAGTTGTTTTCGTGGGTCAAGCATGGCAAAGCTGTAGAATGCAAGGGGAGATGAGCCGGATGAGTGAATGGATCGGCAGCATGGTGAGGGCAGGATGGCACAATGCCGGCAAAAATTTGTTTGACACTTACCGGTACCTGCATCTATGAACATGTTTTTTTGGGGGTTGGACATGTTATATTCAGGAACATTCAACATTCGGGCAATTCAAGGGGTGCCCGGGTTCCCTTTCCAATGGAGGTGCGCCTTTTTTTTTGCGCCATACTCAGGTGGTCTACGTGCCTCCGGCCAACAAGTGGCCAACACCTAATGCCTGGACCGCGTGACTTGGCATCAAGTGAAAACACACCTATCACTGGCCTATAACCTATCATATTATCATACGAGCCAGGATCATTTTTTGAATACAACTTTTATTAAAGAGGGATACGTTTGTGCACGAAACCCTGTAAAACGATAAGGTCCACCATAAAAGGTATGGGGCGGACTCACAACACTGTAAAACGATAAGGTCCAACTCAAAACCGATAATGACTGTTTCTTTGTTGATGTTGAAGAACAATAATTTTTGACCGTCGTGGCACTAAGTTTTTGACCGTGGCTCATATATTATCATATTAATTTATGCCAATGTTACCAAAGTTTCTCAGATTCAGTTCTATCGCAGGATATTGCAGGACTGCTCAGAGAGAATCCTGCCTGCTTCAGAAGCAGATTTCTTGGAGATTCGCCCATTCCTTTGGACATTTTCGGATGAAAGTCCTCGCACCCAAGAAGCAATTTTGCAGTTTGACGTGGCTTCTTCTGTGGGTGGGGCATGTGGGAAGATCCTTTGACACTGACAGGATGGATTCGCAAAGACGAGGGATCATAGTATGATAGCAAGAGGCAGTGATTGCTGCATGACGATAAACACGAAGCCAGAGAACAGCCCTCCAAAAGAAAACATTGTGTTGCCTTTTTTGGGGTCTACTTTTCTTCGCATCAACTATGTTAAGCCTTCGGGGTGTGAATAATGGGACAAATGTAGAACCACACGCCAAGTCAGGGTGATCAGATCTGAGCAAGGGTACTTTGTTCGGCTTTACTGGGCCCGACTCGCCTTGTGTGTCAGTGGGGTGATGTGGGGGTGATCACCATCCAGTAGAATGACCAGCAGTTGGCAGTGGAGGAGAGAGAAGTATGTACCTACCACATCCTACCATCGTTTTTCGATCTCCATTGCTTTTGACCTCACGGCTATGATCACTCCAATGATCACTCCCTCACGGGAGAGTCGCTTGTTCATGGCACCATGTTTTTCCTTTTGGTGCAGCACAGGATGAAGAAGACATGTGGTTAAGCAGTCAGTCACTGCCGTTGGGATGACACTGGTCAGCGGCTACCCCGTTTAGTACCGCTGAAACTAATCACGACCACCGTTTTAGTACTGTAATTCAGGAAAGCAAATGAGAGTCACCAGCAGCAGCACTATTGTGTAAAACATGTTTAAGAGCCGAGAAACTATGGACCCTCCATAGCAGGGATTGTGACCCTGCAGCAAATAAGTCATGCACACCTTTTTCGGTTCGGGAGAGCTCAACGCCTAGCTTGCACACCTGCTCACTTTCACCAACACATGGCTCCGGGTCACGACCGTAGGTCGCTCTGTAAAATAACACCGGAAACACTGGTCCTTAACCGCCCGGCGCAGGTTTACCTTTGTGGTGGAGTCACCTCTCCGCGATGAGGCGACCGGCCAGGCGAGGCCCTGCTTTCGCCCAATGTGTCCAGGATCTGATGGCGGAGAATCGTGAGGGGCGAACCAAGTGTCACGCTTGGAGAGATTGAGAGAATCACACGGTCCAAACTTGAGGTGATCAAAGTGGTCAAGGGGGCTGAACAGGCGCAGGTCCCATGAAACAACACTCTGAGTGTTTCGCGCTCCCAGATGGTGATGACGCGGAGTGAGCCGGGCCTGGTGGTCTTGGCGAACCCGGAGCAGCAGATTGCGGGCTCGGACTTCAGCCTGGTGCCGGGGCTGAAGTACAAATGATGGGCTTGGCATGGCTTGGCCTTGGGCCGTGATACATGTGACACACACACAAAGAGAAGATCACCAAGTAGAGAGCCTTATCAGGAAAGATTGCTGTAAGAACTTTGAAGGCTCCCAGATTGCTTTGGAACACGCTGCGTGGAACATCGTGGAACCCACAGTCCCAGTCCTTGGTAGTTTTTAGGTCACTCAAGAGGTGGACCCGATTGAAGTCAACCTGACTTCGTGAAAACCGGCTTATGCGTGGCCCAAACATCAAACCCAGTCTCGCTGGCCGAGCTTCAGCTCGACGCTGGGCACAAGGCGAACAGCGCGGATGGCTGGAGCTTGTCGGGGCAGCTGGAAGTGGTGGCTGGCATCTCGATGACGAAGATTCGTGGACTGAGGGCCCTGGGAGGGGCGGGTAGAATACTGACGGTAGATACCAGGTGAATGGTTCTTTTTCAAACATGGGTGCCATTGGCATCTATAAATTGCAATTTCAGGTGCCCATTCTATAGTGAGGATACCTTGAAGAAAAAGGGCTTTAAAACCTGACACGGCATTTTATAGAGGGATCATTTTCAATTCGGTCATCCTGGCTCATAGAAGATAAGACACGTGGAATTCCATGTTCATGTTTATGGAGAAGCTTATTTGGATTTGCTTCAACACTATTCAACACTGCTTAAGGTTGGTCACCTCATTGTATAGAATTTTGTCGATATATATATATATATGTAACTATGTATATATATATATACACACTTGGTTTGGCATTTTATGGGGGCCCGAGGATGGACATCCCATTCTATAGAGAGGTTTTCCCCATAAAATGCCTTGCAAATGGTCCAGTGGACTTTTCACCAGAAGCCATGATAGTGCAAAATGGCCTACCCCAGGCCGATCCCCTTCCACCCGACCCACAGTACAGCGGCACTCATGTTTTCTGGAGATGCACTAGATCTCTATAATGTAACATATATATAACTAAATGCATTCTAGTATCGGTATAGTATCGAGATAGTGTAATGTGGTAACGACTATATATATATATGTAACATAACCATACATTAATGATAGAGGTACACAATCATATAAGTAAGCAACAACCATAAACAATATAAGGCATATACATTTATTGTTTTCTTACATCACCGATCATCGCGCCCTCCCGTTGGCACCTCCTTTGCTTTCTGTCGAGGTAATGCTCCCAGTCAGGGTGTGAGACATCACGCGTCGGCTTGGGGTGCCTCGGGATCCGGGGCGAGATCTCGATTTGGGGATATTTGGGGCAATGTATAGGGTCTGGAGATATATTAGGGACGAGATGTTTAGAGGTCAGAAAAAAGATTCTTGATGAATAAGAGCCTCCCACGTGGACTGTAAAACCTCTCCATGTCATATGGAGGGTTCTTTCTTGATCAAGTATTCTACGGCCTCAACTGAATGGCAGAGTGAAGTTTGGGGGTTTCCGACTGGTCCGGCCAGATTTCAAGAATCCGATGATTCGGGAATTGATGGCTAGGACCAAAAACCCGGGTAGTGGTTGCAGGTGTGAAGATCACCGAACGAGGCTCAGCCAAGGAAGATGTTGGGTCGTGCAACTCACTGCTAGTGTTCCAGGAAGACTTCCATCAGCAACTGACTGACATGACCATTATGCACACAGTTATGCACACTTGTTTCACAGATTTCCAATTGTCCAACGACGGCTTGTTCATGTGTAGGAACATGTTGGAGTCCACCTGTCCACACAAAAAGGACCCACCACCAGTGGACCACCAGATGTCCCATTCTTATATAGCCCTCACAGCCAGTCATTTCAGAGTCCTTGGCGATCTGAATGCAAAATTGTACCATCTACGATCTTCGCTGTCAACCCCGTGGCTCGAAGTTTCCACAGACCACTTCATCGGAATTTGCGGTTGTGCACTGTCCTCACACTCCAAACAAGGACCCTTGGGGGCCCCAAAAAACACTTTCTATCGTAAAGTGTGAATCCCGGCAATGGAACTGTATAGAAACCATGGTCCGGTCGCACTGGAGCATGCTCGAGCAACCATGGAACAGGTCCAGCAGTGGTACCGTCCTTCGCGTGTCCCGAGAGACGGTCCGACGCCGTCGGTCGCACGCTGTCCGTCGGGGAAGCGTGAACGCAAGCTGTCGAATTCATCAGGTGGGTTGAATCACTACATCTATGGTGCTTCAACTGCAGCTGAGTTGGGAGATGTGCACGAGAGAACCCAGGAAAGAGTAGAGAACACCATGGAGACGCCCAGCATGATTCTATGTTGTACACTTCCTAGCCCAGTTCGTAGCCCAAAACTGTCATTTTTGACGGAGTGGTCGGCCGGATTTCGATGGTGTCCCTGAGATCGGCTGAGGCGCCGACGAAGTTCAGAGCCTGGACTTTGCCACGGGAATCGACTTGGCACGCTGGTACTTCGAGGCCTCTCCCAGGATCTTCCATCGGAAGGCGTGGACATTTTGCAGGGAACATGTGGAAGGCGGCGGATTTCGCAGGGAACAGGGCGGGAGGTCCCCAGCAAACCAAGATGCTATAAAACTTCAACGGTTTTACGTGCAAGTCAGTCGCTTATAGCTTGTGAAACAATTGCGCTCTTTTGACTGCGGATGCGCTGCTGTGAAAATTATGAAAGCACATAGGATCCTAGCACCAAAGTTGCGGGTGAATTGACCTATTCTTATGCAAAAGTGATGTCGTCGGGCATTTGGTAGGGGACAGCTGCCACTGGAAGTTATGCCTACAAAACATAATGTGAGACTATTTTGGGCGCGATGTGCTCAGTGGTATGTTCGCATCGTTTTCTGGAAGGGTTCAAAAGCAATCTCACTCTGAATGCCTTTGGGCCATAGGAGCTCGCGGCCGCCTATGGCGGCATGCTGCGCTTCCGTGTCCGGTCGCAGTACGGGAACTTCTTGGAGTTGACGCTTGGAGAAGGGATCCCCCAAACGCAGCATGTTCTCCGTGTTCTCACCTCTAAGAGATCCTTGAGCAGAGGCTTGGAGCCAGTCAGAGTTCAGAAAGCAATTGTTTGAGCTGTCATTTCACTAGTGCTGATTGTGTGTTTGTTTGTTTTGTTCTTTTCTCTAAGCTCATGAGTTCTTATTTATGCCTCAAAACCGCTTCTTTAAGCTTTGGCGTATGGAAACCACTCCACCTTTAATGTAACATGTGCCAGGGTATATAGTTCTTTGGGTCATCACCAGTTGTGCATGAGCGTGCATTCAGGGTAATCAACCATATTCAACCCAACTTGGCTTTGTTCAAAATTCAATGCCGCTGAGTTCAAGAAATCAACCATGCATTTTCATTCCATGTCACGATATTTTTTTGATGTTCAAACTGGGCACGGACGACGCAGGCTGTTCGTGCCTGCCAGGCTGTTTGTGCTTGCACCCTTCCCAGTCCAGGATGTTGCATTTGCATTCTTTAGGACCAAGTACAAGAAAGACTTACCGTGTGTGAACGTTGTGTTTTAATGTGTTTTCCGATTTTTATGTGTTTGTGAATAGCTTTTGTGCAGCCTTGAGCTGAGGAATGATCCACTGGACTGGGTGACGATCGAATGTCAGCAGGGATCCCAGTCGAGGGCCGCTCCTCTTGTGAAAGATCGTTGGGTCTATAAAACACCAGTGTAGACAACTACTAGACTCTAGGCAACCTCAAACTGACCTGTAGCAGCCTCAAATGCAATGACAAGTGCAACAAAATGCTACAAATCTAAGTTCAAGAAATCACCTGATTCCTACTCGGTGATCCCTCCTCCTAGTTGGTTGGGGATGGGTGAAAACCATGTCATATCCGAAGCACACCAGTGGGCAATGATTGTGTTCGTTTTGGCTGCGAACACCTCTTGCACCTCTCAGGCAGGTCCCTCCACCCCTCCTGCCATTGGTGGCGCCAACCACCTTCAGCCCTGGCAGGTCCTGTGACAGTGGACAGGGCGCGCGCATCGTGCGCCGCTCGGAGCGACCACGGCGGGCGACCACTCGGGGTTGGCACGGCACGGACCGAGCTCCGCTGTGTCTGTGTGCGACAGGAGACTAGGAGACGAGTAGACTGGGGGCGTTCTCGGAACGTTCTCGGAACGTGAACGATGATTTTGTGGTGCGTTCGGAGATGTTGAGAGTCTCTATTTCTTGTGCACTGTGACAGGGGTGGTGGGGTCCAATCTATGCAAGTGCTACTTTGCGAACTCATCGACCACGGCAGTCATGCCCTGAAGTCAGAGATGTTGGTGCGTTGTTTTTGGATTCATCATGTGTTTTCGCCATTGGCGGTGCCGCTTGTAATTTCCGGTCATTGCGATTCTTAGGCTGGCTTCCATCCAGAGGGGGGATGTGTGGGATTCCTGCTTGCAGATGACCCAACTTCAGAGCAGATCCCACGCGCCATCCGCGCGGGCTTCGAACTCCAAAGCTTGGAACCGTCTTTCGCCACGTAAGTGAAGCAGCTGCGATGCCCTCGTGGCTTTGTTGTAACAACACCTCGCGTGGCAGATACAGATTCCTACCACGATGGGACCCGATGCGAAGGAAGAATGCACTTGGCCATGCGGCCAGTGGGCACCATCCGAACAAATCCTAACCCACTGTGAAGGGGGAGGAAAAATGAATTGAACCTGCAGGTCCTTGGGTCCCTGGGTCTGATATACCGAGCTACATCCTCGGTTGATGACTTGTGTGATGCTATGGTTGTCTCCACTCCACCCCATTGAAACTCTGCAGATGCCCTGGAGCCCGCAGACCTTTCCTCTTGAGCTGGCAGAATGCGGATCTCGAGGCTTTGTGGATGAGACTCTCCGGTGGATCGGCAACGAAGTGTACATGGAGTTATACTTGCATGAGAATGGCAGGCGCTGGGATGGTCATGGGACCGGGCGAAGCGAAGCCCGGGCTTCGCTTCCCGCTTGATCGATGGACCGCAGAAAGAGGAGACGACATGCAAGGGGGGTAGGCGAAAACATGACAAGAAGGGGGAACGAACATGTTGTATTATATACCTCCATCCCCTCCTCCATCCATCACAGCCAGCAGGGGTGTTTTCGTTTATCACATGTGCCTCAAACTGTCTCACACACACAATATATACAATTTACAGTACATTGGGTTTATATATAGTATGAATATGTATGAATAAATATGTATATATTATATATTATAAATATTGTTATTTGTGAGTGTGTGTGACATTCTGGTACGTATTGCCTGGTCAGACGACCTTGTGTTTGGCCATGTTTGGCCTTAGATGGAGAACCTTCGGTGTCGGCGCCCCAAGGTTGAAGAGAAGATCGCCCATCCCGTTGCCTGATAATTGTAAGCCAGTCAGTGGTTTCGCTGGTTTGACTTTCATCCTGATGAAGATAATTTCTGTAAAGGTGCACTGCAATACCTGCAACGAATCCTCGGGAGCAGGGAAGAACCAGCTTCAATCCTTTTTGTGCTTTGGAAAGGATCTTCTCCCGGTGGCTCACTCTTTGGTCCTTTTTGGGCCCCCATGGGACTGGAATTGTGGAATCCATGCCGGCGACCCCCAAACCATTCCTAGAGGCAAATAGCATACATGGAGCATTTGGGTCTCTAGATTTCCGGATACGTCGACAGTGTTCAGGTGGTCCTACGACCCCCTGAACTCTGCGGCAGAGTTCACCTATGCCACGCAATGTCAGATCGCAGCCATCCTGAGACTGAGCGACGAAAGTCGTCGGATGATGTTTTTTGGGTCTTGGCACCGTGCTTCATCCCGCTGGGTCGGGTAGTTTGCACTGCAGGTCCCCAGTCTAAAGTGATTAACCTGCGTAAGTGAGTGCCAACACGCCATCACCACCCAAAGGGTGTCTATAAACCACCCCTGAGCCTTAGGATCTATTACTGTAAAGCATTCCCTTAAAAAGCATAGTCTTAGGGGGTGGTTTTGGACACCTTTGTATTCCTTTGTGTGGTGAGAACAAAGCAGCGGATGATCGGGAGTTGGGAGGGAGGAATATTATAGACTTTAATTTGCATATATATATATATATTAGGTGTTTTTTTTTTAATACTTCATTAGTCTTTGTCTTTATTTCAATTGTCCGTCATTACAGTTGGTTGGTTGGCAGTGAAAAAGTCAAGCTGGTGGCCATGTGTGAATTTGGAACTCCACCTGATCTTGGGCAGCCATGTGTTGATGATGGAACAACATCAGATAGATAGTTTCTTGCTTGTTGTTTGTTTGGATTTGTTTTGCGGGGAGGAAAGCACTGGGCGGCTGGTGGTTGCAGACTTCACTTCTTTAGCAACAATACAGGGGGCCCAGCACAATCAAGGAAGGAACCAGATTTCCACCCAACGTGTTTGAGGTATTAGCCCAAGAATCCTCGCACACTCATTGAACCCTCCATAGTGCTCAAGGGTTTGGCCCCTCAAACCCCAATGTGTTTTCTTCCCCCAGATACCGAGAGATATTGGGGTTCTTACTTCAAGTATAGGAAAAGGTGCCATGAGGTGCCTAATTATTTGGGGTCTCATCTGGGGTCTATGCCTATCTGGAGGGTGTTTATGGGTGTTCATCACCAGGCCATGTCGTCCCGCGCGCCTGGGCGACCGCCCGTCTAGGACCAACGTCTCCCGGATCGCCATCCTGGGCGACTTCACCCGAGGACGGCACCGACTGCGACCCGAGGGTCGGTGCCATCGGTGATCCACTCACCATGGGTCTCTCCCAAAGGTCCCAGCTAGCAACATGGAACTGGACGTAGAACCGAGGTCGGATGTTTTCCGAAGAACCTCCGGGGCGAAGGATGCTGAAGACGGGGGGATCTTCCGGTTACGAGGGGTTCCTAATGGTTTCGAGCAAGTTGGCCAATCCGAAGTTCACCCGGGAAAAACACATCACAACTGTTGGTGGGCCGGGGTATGTCCCAAGGTACTAATCAGGCTATTGGAGCTATGGAGCTGTTGGACGCCGTGTCAAGGCCCGAGGTCCTTTTGGGTCCTTCCCTGTGCTTCGCTGTGGAGCTCCAACCAGCAATGTGACAACCTCCCATCTTGCATGAGTGCTTGGGGGCTTCTTACCTCGCACACGTTGATCATCCTAAGCCTCGTTCAGAACCTCTCATCGATGCATTTGACAGACATGAGGTTTCGAATTCTTCGGGCCCTCCTTCTCCAGAGGTGCCCAGCAGTCAAATCCAGGTCGCTTTGGACCCTCCGCCACACCATTTGTGTTTTTCAGGTGGTGAAGGCATTGCCCTGGACGATGTCGCCATCGTGGCGGCGGATGCCTCGCTGCAGCCGGCCTATCCGTTGTCGTGTCAGCAGGCGTGTCGAGTCGCGGCGGCACGTGTTCCGCGGTGGTGGACGTCCTGTCGCTGGCCGTCCTGGAACGTGCAGGCCATTGCCTCGGCCGGGCGCAAAGCCCAGTGGAGATGAGGAGGTTATAGTATACTATGCTATACTAATACTTGACAGAGATACAGAGCCAGGCAGAAAAACGACATCGTCCACATGCAATACATAGAACAGATCCATAAGAAAAACAAGAACATACTAGCATTGTGCAATAAGTGTCCAATGATGGACTACCCTGCACTACACAGGGATCTTCATTGGACATCCATTGGATGGTCCTGGTAGTACACACACACACGCATTCCCTGTTGGCAGGACAATTCGTAGAACCCAGGGGGCTGCACATCCGAGAGCGCACATTGACCAAGGGGTAGATGACCCCAAGGCGTTTGGTTTTAGGTCGTTCATGAGTCGACTTGCTTTAGCACGGGGCGTCAGCCCGTGCCTTCGAGGGAGATGGGAAGAGGGTTCAGGATGAAGCGCCTTGGAATCCGAACTGGAATCCGAACCTCGACACATTGCAATCAAGGCTGTGGTGTGTTTTGTTGAGCCGAGCCGCTGGATGCACATTTGACCCACGCTGTGCGTCTTCCACTCCCAGACTTCAGACCATCCTGGCTTGACCAGAGGTGTGGGACCCGATTGTGGGACTTCCTGGCTTTCTTTGGCCAAAGCATGCCGCGACTGTTTCTTCAGCATGGCCCAGATCCCACCACGTCCCACCCAAACCAACGCCCTGGAAGCTCCAGGGATGCATTTGCCGGCACAACCCGTCCTTGATCCACCCCACCTGCTGTTGAGCTTCAGAGACTTGGCCATGCCCACAGAGCGAACTCTGGACCCTTCAAGTAGATTGTAGATTCTGTTTGAAAAATCGGGTCATTTCCGAGGTCTCATTTTCTAGGGTATTTGGGAAATATTGCATTGTTTTGTTATTGCTGGTCAAGGATGGGACGCTGGTGACTGATGGGTGCATCCATTGTGCATGATACCCAGGGGACCATTTTTCACTTCCTCGTGAGTGAGTCAAAGGGTAATCCTTTGAGAACAGCTCCATCATCGGGGGTTCCGGATGTGAGGACACATGTATTGATTTTAAGTTCTGTAGCCCTGTATGATAGTATAGGCATAGGCAGTGTTCTTTCAGGTCTATCTGATGTAAATTGATCATTGAATGTTTCCAGAGCATCGTTTGAAACTTTCCGGTTCGGCTTGGGCGCACGCGCCGGAGAAGTGCGCTTCGGTCCACTCGCTCCCGTTGCCTAGGAAGCTGGAGCTCCTGCAGCGTGGGACTGAAAAAGGAGCTGCGAGACTGAGACCTGCGACGAGACCAGCCCCAACAGATCGGATCTAAGAGTGTTTCAATCATTTTGGATGCCACAAATTGGGCGTGGCATTGTCCCCTCAAAACCCGCTAAGGCTAAGACTCCCTTGGTCTTGGCGTGCTGAGAACGGCAACTTGGACCCTCTTTTAGGATCCTTAGACGGTGGTACAACATCACACACCAACAAAAAGGAACTTCCCCCCAACAAAATGGCGGAGATGGCCATTTGGCCTGTACCACCATCCTGGGTCATTTCGGAGTCTCCAACCAGTCGACCTGGTGCATCCGATCTCTTAGGTGGCGGACTGCACCCCGACAGATCCCAAAGCGGACCAGGAGGTCGGGCCAGCGACCGAGCCGGCGACCCCGGGGGTCGTTCGGCGACCGGGCCGCGGCCTGACCGAGAAGACCGGTGTTAAGCTGCCCGTTGGTTTCCAGGCAAACGTTTTAGGTCGTGAAATTGAAGAGTTTTGGGATTTTCCCACATAAAAAAAGAAGAGCACCATTAGTTCCGCACGACTCCGTCCGATTTGCCTCCCCCCCAGAGCACAAAAGAAGACGAGCCTGTTGTTTGGAGCTGGAAAGTACATGGAGTTCACCGGCTGGAGCAGGTCCACGCCGTTCAGCCCGGAGTTGGGCATGGACCTCTGGGCGGTCTTTGTTTCTTCGAGAGGTTCTTCCAAGCACGGCGCCACCAAAGGATCAGAATGTTAGTGAATACGAGGTGAGGCGGCACTCTTTAAATCGATGGTGTTGCTTCCCAACTTCCCGATCTTAAGCCTGCCGCCATCAAAGTAGAGCATCGACCAGCCATTCGTGTGAAAGGGCAAAGCAGTTGCTTGACCATGGTTGTTCTGACCTGCAGCCATTTTCTTGCTTTGCCTTCAATTCAGCTAGGTCTAAATGTCGGGTCAATGCAAAGCATGCAGGGGTGATTAATGAGATAGATCAAAAGTAAAGCCAAGGTGTTCAAAGTCGAAAAGTGTTGAAACCTTGATGAACGCCCATGTAGCAATAGGCATCCCCTGGATGCCCAATACCCACTAAAGACATGCTGCAAAGCCCATTAGAACTTGCATTTCTACCTTGGGTCGTGCAGAAACCTCATCAAATTAGCAGTATCAGTATGTCCTTTTGGTGTGCGCTCTGAGCGCACCTTTGCTTGTTGGGTTCCAACCTTCATGGCTTTGACACTTGAAGTCTCGGTAGCCAGCAGTCAGTCAGAGGTGTCAGAGCAGTTGGCTGGGAGAGGGGAAAAGGGCCATTGTTCCTTGTCGGCGCCATGGGGGACAATGGTGCAACCGATGAGGCCAGCCCAAAAACAAAGCGAAAGAGAATCTACAGGATCCAGGCGACCCAGCTAATGTAGGTTCAAATTCTTGGGCACCTTCAAGGGTCATTCATCATTGACTTCTTCCTCAGGAAGAGCAATGCCCTAACAGTTGCTGCATGATAACTGTTGCTTGCCGTGAATCGGACCATTGATAGATAAACCGGCATCTCAATGCATAGCATGTAAGAATCGAGTGGACCTTGCAAAAGAAGAGCTGCCAACGAGAACCTCAGTGCAGGCTCTGCTGCCATCCCACGTCCAAAGGTCCACAGAGTCGTCGCAGCGTTCGTCAGTCGGATGTCTTCGTCGTTCGGCAGATCTGACTCTCGCAGGTGGACCTTCTCGACGAGAAGGATTTGTACAAAGTCTTGGGGGTCTCCTGTTCGCAGTTCAAGTGGCGCCAGTGGGGTCGCGATGGAGAGAGACCAGCAACGAACTCCAATATTCGGGGGGGGACTATGGGGCAACACTGTTGGGCAGAGGTAGACACAAGCGCGACATCTAGAATCTATCTCAGGATCGGGGAAGCTTCTTGGGTTGTGGGTGTGGGTGGACCTTGTTGACAGTGTCACAGTGGCACAAGACTCACGGCTGCTTTCAAAACAGATGTTACAATATTTTGCATATTACATAAACATAATCAGTATGTTATGTTTACTCTAATTCGGCGACCGTCTCACAAGTTGCTGCACATTTCGTCCTGGGCAGTCCTGCTACTCCTGATGTGTGGATCCACGACCGGCTCGTGTTCTCACCATCCATCGATGTACACCACTGGAGAGGGTAGCACCAGTGGTAGCACCGTATGGCACTCTGGTACACAAGCACCGCATCGGTTCGATCTCCCGTGTGTTTGCGTCAATGACGCACAGGTCTCACGTGGCGCACAAGCTGATGAGCATCTCGGCCTTGACACCGATGACAGTCCCGGGGTTTTGGAAGAACGTTTGTTGACCCCGCAGTGGGGTCCAAGCCAAACACCTGCAGATGAGCCAGTTTCGCATGGTTTCAGACCAGTTTGCACACAAAGCTCTTGATTTACCGAAAACCCGATGCGGCTGAGCCATCGTGACCACCTGACCACTGTCAGTTCTGAGGCTGAAACGTGCGTATCGACAAAAATCTTTGAGATACCATCCGGACAAGCAGCTTGGAGCAGAACATGCACCCCGGAAGTGAAGAGAACATCAGAAAGAATCTGCCTGTCTCATCGAACGAAGACCCCATGTGCTTGCACTTCTGAAGGCACACAGGTGACAACTTTCCATTTGGAAGACATAAATGTCAAGAAACATGCCCAAGCCTGAGTGCAGAAGATTTGTGCTCTTCAAACATCGTCAAATTTAACAGTGCTAACATTGCTACAGTGTTACAGTGCAATAGAATAGGGATTTGAAAACACCTACGCAACTTTTAATGAATGTGTTTTGGCCTGAGGAATGTCATTTCTGCATGTGCGTAGTGGTAACGAATGGATATGTGCCTCCTATCATCCAACCAAACTGAGACGATTCCATTCAATGCACTAGAAATGAACCAGCCAAACGTGATTTGTTGTTATACATCTTTATCAACTAGTGACCTCTACAAATTGCAAGGGTATTTTGAAGTTGTCCAAAGGGGTTTGCAAAATCATCTCACGATTGATCCCTCAAACAGGGCCGGTGTCGTTGAAGCTTTGAAGTCGTAGAGAAGAAACCCTTACTCTCCAGTCCCTTCTTGCCTGGCACAGCAACTGTACAAAATGTGTCCCGAAGATTGGGACAATCTTGGGCTCAGGAACCCTTCGCCGGATGCCAAACCCATTTTCCAGAGGATCACCGAGGCTTACTCGATCCTCTCCGATGACAAGAAGCGATTGAAATACGACAAGTCAGGCCGACGGCGCGACGGAGCGACGCGCGGGACACGCAGGGTGCGAATCGCGGAGGTAGATTCGCGAGTCTTGCTTTCAGTCCATTTAATCAAGGTCAAGATAATCCATTATATCCATTAAATTAGTATATGCTGTACATTACCCGAAATCATGGCAAGTCAACTAGGTCAAAAACATGCAAAAGCATCATATATATAATATATAATATACGGTGTATATATATATATAAGTCTTGTTCATTACACTGGAAGTTTCCTGCGTAAAGTACACCTCATATGTATAGACACAGTTCATGAACATTGTACTTTTGGCTCAAGTGATAAAAAGGCCGCAGCCGCTGCCACTTCGCGGACACGGCGGTCCGTACTGAGAGTTGGTTTCTTGGTGTTGTTTGTGTTGGTGTTCCGTTTTTCAACGGTTCAAGTGGTTATCAGCCGTATCGTCTTCTGATTGTTTTTCGGTTTCTGTTACAACACAACAACATCATTCATTAGTGTGGTTGCGGGGTCCACAGAAAACCCGTGCATGTCAGGTCGGCGTCCTCGAGAGCCGTCCCGTTCGCCAATCCGTCGGACGCTGCGGCCTCCTGAACCCCCAGGGCCACCGCCAAGGAGGCCATTGCCACCGACGCCTCCTGATCCTCCGAGGCGCGGCATCCGGGGAGGAGCTGCCGCACGGCGACGCAGAGAGGCGTACATTGTCAATTCGGGAGGCGATCGAGCGACGGTTCCGATTGTTCACGCTGGCGGTCAGAGAAGGCCACTTGGAACTTCTAGGTTTTGGGAGCCGAGTGCAAGCGAGGATTCGGGTGAGGAGACGGACGAAGTTGAGTTTGTTGCGCATACATCAGCAGTTGATTTGACTTCGTTGCAGGCTGAGCATCTTGTGCCGCGTTCAAGGCTCTACAATCCGTACGTCTTCGATCATTCGCCTGGCTCGTCAAGTTTGGCTGCGGCCCCAAGGCCTGTTCCGAGTCGAGCGGATTCGAGTGTTGTTGACACGCCTGCCGGAAATCGGCCTTACGACATCCTCAAGTACTACCACCCGGCGCCTGGAGTCGTTCTTCACCCGTGGTCGCGAGTTGACATTGTTTACAGAGAGGCCTTGACTTTTCCGTCTTCAGCCAAGTTTTACGTGTGGGCGAACGGTGATACGTTGAGGCTGGCTGCAGAAAGGCCGAATCACTGGGGCTCTGATCCGGTGATTGCATTGGACTATCATCAGGTCCTTGACGTTGATCGGAGTGTCAATCCTCCGGATCGTGTGGATCATATTGGTAATCTGCCTGCGGGCCACGTTGCAGCAGTTCGTCGCTTGCGAAGGGAGATTGAAGAGGTCGGCTTGCGTTGTCGAGTGAAGATCATTGTTTTGTCGCACATTCACGACAGTGTGGTGAACGAGAGGAACTTGATCACTGCAGTACAACAGAGTTCATTGTCGGTTGATTGTGTGATCATCACTCGTGAAAGGACGGGCCCAAGTGGAAAGTTTGAGGTGCTGAGATCGTTGACTCGTGGTCAGGCTGTGATTTTGGACGACAACGTTGAGGTGCTGCGTGAGTTCAGTGCGGCGAGCCTCATCGCTATTCAGATTCGCAAGCCTCGAGTCGGAGCGATTTTTGACGAAGAGCAAAGGTCTTGGAGTTTTTCAGCACCTTGGTTGGTGGATCGTTTGGTGACTTTTGTGCATCACCATTCGAATCCAGTTGACGAGGAAGAGTGAAGTTGCATCGAAGCTGCTCCGGTCCGGCTGCTTTGAGCGCCGCGGAGCCTTGTTCGTTAGGCCAGTTCCCGAAAGAGCCTGTGCCAATTGTGCATTCGTTCCCGCCGAAAAGAAAGAAGGGTTTGGGAGAGTTTGAATAGTTGGCCAGTGAATCATGTCAGAAGAGCAATCTTCATCGTTGAATGTCAGTTCAGATACTACTGTTGGTGGTTTGGCAGTTGCTGTTCGGAGCAGGTCCCAATCATCCCATGGTTCCGGAACACCCCAAGAGGGAAGGAGATCAAAACCTCCAAAGAGATCTTTGAGCAGAGTCATCAAAAACATGCCCAAAGGCACTCAGTCCCAGGTTCAAGCAGAGGGGTCATCAGTGGTTGAACCATCCATTCCTGCGCTCACTGACCTTCGGTCTTTGCCTTCGTCCAGTGGGTTGCTCCAGCGGTCGGTTGGTCCATCCGAGTTCCAGGGTACCGGAGAGGAAGATGAAGTCATGCCTAATCAAACTAGCTTGACACAAGAATTGCACCTTCATGACGCCCGGTCTTTTAACACGGTCCAGGTGGCATATGTTGGTATCGTTCATGCAGAGTTCGGTCGTGTTGTAGCTGAGTCTCAACGACTGATCGGGGAAGCGGACTCTAGAGCTTCGCACTTTGAAGGTGTCGCTCAACAAGTCTTTCAGGAAGCCACAGCTCACATCGGTCACCTGACATCCCTGGTCGAAGAACTCCGTAGTCAGAACGAAATGCTCCAAACAGGTCACATCGAGAAAGATGTCATGATCACCAGCTTGCATGAAGCGGTCCAAGAGGTAAAGCAAACCCTTGAGAACCAGATCAAATTCAACCAGTCCATGTTTGAGGGTCAACTTCGCAAAGCGAAAGATGAGATCGACCGTTTGTCTGACCTCAACCAAAAGTCCCTCAACCTTTTAGGCCAAAAAGATTCAGAAATCCAGCGTCTTTGCCAAGAGTCTTCGTCTCGACAAGATCGCATCTCGTCGCTGGAGGCCCGACTGGCTGCTTCAAGCGCCGCGGTCATCCAGTCGCCTGCGCCTGCTTTCGTTCCGAAGCCTGTGCCTGATGCATCTTCGCCTAAGGACACTGAAGGAGGCAATAGAATGTTGGAGTCAATCATGGAAGCTGTTCAGTCACTCAGTTCCAGAATGTTGACACTTGAATCAAGCCGAAATAGCACGGATCCTAATCGTGAGCCTCGACCTTTGTTCGATCGTTCGCATGACACAGTTGTCCAGTCATCCTCACCTCCTGTAGGACCTTCTCGTGGACTTCGTGTTGGCAAAGGCTTTCCCGGAGGTCCGCCCGATCCATTCGATCAGGGGGGTGGAGGGTCGGACGACGATGAAGAGGAGTTGATTTCAGAATCGCCCTCACATGCCTCAGAAAGGGAGATTGTTGATTCTAGAGCTTTGTTGCACACCAAACTGGAAGTGGTCCCTCAGAGTGCTGCAGACTTTAGAGCTTGGAAGACAAACTTCTTTTTGATGCTTGGCCGCTTGGACATTTCGTCAAATGAATACCTTTCCAAGTGGGCTGCAACGGCTTTCGAGGTAGGTCAGGAGAAAGAATGCCAGAGTTCATCAGGCCTGATCCCAAGGTTTGATAGGTGGCTTGCATCTGAGCTTCTCAAGAATGTGCGGTCAAGCCCTGAGTTGTTGTTCAAAGTCCAGGGGTATGTTGAGCGTTGCACTCGTCAGTCCACAGTCCCTCGGGGTAGGATGATCTTGTACATGGTTGCTCGACATTTCGATCTCGATCGTACTCGTGGTTCATTGCTCACATCGCAAAGCATCTTCCAAGTGGAACTCAATGGTTTTTCGTTGAAAGATCTCCAGGAGTTTAGCGGTACAGTCATGAAGACCTTGAACTCCATTGACCCTGCCGACTGGCCGAATCAGAGAATGTTAGGTGAATGGTTGTTCCATCGGTTGAGAAACGTTCGAAAGCTTGAAAGGACCATCGACGAGATCAAACGCTCCGCATATAGCTCGGAACTTCGTGATTTCGACTTCCTTTGGGGAAGGTTGCAGGAGCACCTCGTTGAGGAAAGGGAAGACACCAATGCTAGGTCCATTGAGCTTTCGTTGAAGCCAAAGTCGTGGAAGAAAGATCCTAAGGAGAAGTCGAATCCTCTTGCAAACCCTGCAAAGGCTGCCACGGTTCCGCCACCACCTCCTAAGGAGACACCGGCGGCTCCCGCTGATCCTTCGTCATCAAAGAGTGATCCTAAGGGTAAAGGTGGCAAAGGTGATAAAGGCAAAGGTGAGAAGGGAAAAGGTAAAGGCAAGGGTTTGAGCAAGGAAGACAAGGCGAAAACGCCTTGCGTGTTCTTCCAAATGCCTCCCGGTTGTGTGCACGGCAGTTCATGCGCGTACTTGCACGAGAAGGTCAAGCCTGATGCCAAAGCCGAAGCAACGGCTAAGCCAAAGGCCCAGCCAAAGCCGAAAGCCAAGGCAATGGCTGCTGTTGCCATTGTTGCTGCCCTCTCATCGATGGCCATGCCAGTTGAAGGCCGTCTAGACCGTCTAGAGTTTGCTGCAGATACAGGTGCCGGCCGACATCTCGTCTCTCCGCAAAGCTTAGAAAGGCAGGGAGTGTCTCCAGAGGTGTTCAGCCAGTTCCAGCTTCCTTCACATGAGAGCCTGAGGTTTTCGACAGGTGGAGGAAAGAGAGATTCGAGCGATGCAATCGGTCTCAGGGATCGTGAAGGCATCTTTCAAGAGGCAAATCACTTCGTGCTTGACTCATGCCCGTTTGTCCGGTCTGTTGGTCTTGATGTCAGCAATGGTATGGGGTTTTTGTGGTTGCCCAATCAACTCCCATGCTATATAAAAGACTGCAATCAATTCCAGTTCCAAACGGATGAAAGCAATTTGATTCGAGCAACGAGGGTTGATCAGTATGTACCATATTTCTCCAGATCATTTGATTTCATTCCAGGCGTACCAGGTGAGGTGGAACCTGTTGAAGCAGAACCCGAGGTCCGGTCTCCTGAAGGTGCGATTCCGCATTCAGTTGCAGACGACATTCGTGGCGTTGCTCCAGGTGAGGCTTTGCCAAAGGTCCCTGAATCTGAGAAGTTCGTGCGTGAACGGGAACTTGCAATGTCCACCAAGCATTGCATGACACATTTCCCTAAGTCCGCACTTTGTGATGTTTGCAATCGTGCTAGGCTGTACTCAAAACGCATCAGATCCCATCGTAGAGCAGACGAAGAGAGTGATCTTCCTGTTCCTGAAGCGTTCGGCCAGCAAATTGCATGTGATCACATGATCGTTTCAAAATCTTCGTCGGGGAAGGAATTTGTTGTTCTTGTGGTGATGGACTTGTTCAGCAAAGTTTTCCAAGCATACCCTCTGGCAACAAAAGATACTGATTCGGTCAAGGAAGCCCTGAACCATTTTGTGGGTGTAAAGGCCAAGAACCCTCAAACCATTTGTAAGTCAGACTGTGCCAAGGAGCTTCTGAAAGCCATTCGTTCACTCGGTTGGTTGTCAGACGCATCATTGCCAAGGAGATGGCCTCACAACAGTGTACTTGAGAGACAGATCAGGTCCTTTGAAGAGTCTTGTAGGAGCATACACTTGCAAGCAGGATTCGCTGTGTTCCCAAAGCTTTGGACCTTGACATGCCAGTACACAGCCGTTTCCATGAGCATCGAGCATTGGTCAAAGGCTTTTGGTTCTGAGTTCAAAGGTGCAGACTACATTTTGGGTCAGTTGGTTTTCTATAGGACAAAGTTTCAAGAGAAGTCGAAACTCGCCCCCAATTCTTCACCAGCCCTAATGGGAGGTTGGAAGCTTGAGTTTGGGTGTCGGTACAAAGGTGTTTTGAGACTTGTGGATTACAACTCCTTGAAGCAAGGTCATGTTTCCATTGTGGTCGCCCCGGATCAAGAGGTTTATGTTCGTGATGAGCGTGTGTTTCCGTTGAGAGATCTCGCAGAGAAGGCATTGAATGACTTCTCGGATCCTGATGTTCGTCAACTCGCTGACGTGGATCCTCTGCCAATTCCTTTCATCGAAGATACCCCAGAGACTAAGTCTAAAGCACGCAGAGTTTACATCACGTACAGTAGGATGCTGAAGATCGGCCCGACCAAGGGATGCAAAGGTTGCGATGCTGATTCGTCTGCACACAATGCCGAATGCATTGCCCGGTATGAGGAAGCATTCGGTGCTGCTCCTTCGACCCCAGCACCTGAGCCTCCGACCTTCGAAATGCCGGAGATCCTAGGAGACTTGATTGACGAAGAGTACACCCCAACTGTTTTGTCAGAGGCCGAAGAGGATGAAGAGGAGATTGTCCCAGAATGTCCTCCGCCCTCTGATGATGATGAAAATGAACCTGAGGGTGATGAAGCTCGTGTTCATGCAGGCATTAATGCCGTCCTTGCCATGTCTCATGATGCCATTTCCAAGAAAGCTTCAGAAACAATCGTTCAAGAAACGTATGCATCAGCAGTCGCTGCAAGCAATGAGAGCTGTCTAGGAGCAGCTGCAAAGCCTGAGCGTCTACACAGTCAGATCCACAATTCCCCAGGTGGAAAGATTTTGTTTGAATTTGCCTGTGCTTCAGACTCAGCGCTCGGTAGGATTGGTGAGGAGCTTGGAGTTCAAGTTGTAAGACTTTGTAAGGAACACATAGATCTCGCAAGTAAAGCAAACATCGACCAACTTGTTGAGCAAGTGAAAGCCATCCCTGGTTGTTCAATCCATGGTTCCATTGAGTGTGGTCCCTGGAGTGCTTGGCAAAGGTTGAATGAAGCAAAGAACCCAAGATTGTCCAACATCCTTCGAGAGAAGCGTAGGGAAAGTGTTTCAATGATGCATTCGTTCATCAGGGTTGCAAACCATGTTCTTGATAATGGTGGTTTTGTGTCTTTTGAGTGGCCAAGGTATTGTTCCGGGTGGATGAGTGAACCCCTAGCTTCCTGGATCACAGAAAGGCAATTGCTGTCTGCCACTTTCGATGGCTGCACAGTGGGAATCACTGCCAAGGACAACAAACCCGCTCGAAAGCCGTGGAGGTTTGTCACGAATAATAAGAGGTTAGCTGATTCTTTGGGAATGTTGAAGTGCACGCATGACAAGCATGCACCCCTTGAAGGGAAATACACTCGAAACTCAGCTTTCTACCCAGAGCCTCTTTGTCAGATCATGTTGCATGCTTTGTTTCCACGTGTCATCAATGCTCATGTGTTTTGCATGCCGTGCACACCTCGCGTGATTCATTCACATCGGCCGCATGTTGTCAAAGGGATGCCATGTGTTCCCATTGATGTCCTCATGCATGAGAGTGGATGTAAGGAGTTTGTAACACCAGCATTCGTTCATCGTCTGTTAGAGCGTGCTGAATGGAAGGGTCGCCCAGAAGTCTACCTTGCCATTAAAAGCCAGAAAGATGGTTTGGTTTTGGAAGGGACTTGGATTGAAGATGAGATTAGGTCAAAGGCAGACGTGATCAGGGAATTTCCCAATGAAACACTGCATTTCGGAGCCCTAATGGTGATAGTTAGCATAAAGGGATATGAAAAGAACCCAGCTGACTGGAAGATCAAGGCTCGGATTGTTTTCCGAGGTGACGCAGTCAAGGATCAGGGGGGCTTAAGCGCCATCTTCCAAGATCTTGCTGCTTCCGCTCCAAGTTCAATTGCAGCATTGAACACAGTGATAGCCTTTTCAATGATCGAGGGAAACACTTGTTCAACATCCGATTGCGTCCGGGCCTATATTCAATCCGCACTCGGCACGAAGCATCGAACATTTGTGATGCTACCGCCTGAGCTTGTGCCAGAATCCAAGAAGCACATCCACATGCCTTGCGCGCAGCTGTACAAGGTACAAGAGCCTTTATGGCCATCCAGAGTCGTCGGCGCACTGGCAGGCCCACCTTTCCAAAATCTTGCAAGAAAAACTTAACGGTGTCGAGTTCAGTGAGATGCCCTCGGTTTTTCGGTTCGGTCGTTCTCTAGTGATGAGCGTCTATGTAGACGACCTCACACTCTCAGGAGTAGCCTCCGAACATGAAGGATTCTGGAAAACCCACAAGCAGTATATAAATTTAGATCCACCGTCAGAATTTGGAAGAGTCTTAGGACGAAACCATAGGCTTGTGTGGTTTCAAGGGAGCAAAGCAGTGGCCTTAGAATCATCTGACTTCGCAAAACAGTGCGTTGAACTGTATGAAGAGCTGGCGAAAACGCCGGTGAAGGCCTACTCCTCGCCCTCATGGGACGATGGAGCCCTGATCCCCGCTGATGACGAGGTCAAGGGACAGCTCTCGCCACATTCGGCCAAATTAATTATGAAGTTGATGTGGCTCTGTCGCATTAGCAGGCCAGACGTCACATTTGCTGTCACTCTGTTGGCGAAACACATTACGGTGTGGTCGGCCAACGACGATAAAAGAGTCGCAAGACTCATCGGGTACTTGCAAAAGACCCATGAATACTCTCCGATAATGTGCATTCGTGATCCGCCAGAGCAGTTGAACTTGTCTCTGTATTGCGATGCCGATTTCGGTGGTGATATCAAATCAATGCGTTCAACCTCTGGATTCATCCTTGCAGTTGCGGGTCCCTCCAGCTTTGCGCCAGTGAGTTGGAGTTCCAAGAGGCAGAGCGTGGTTGCAAGATCGACCACGGAGAGCGAGTTTGTCTCACTTTCCAGTGCCTTATTCTCCGAGGCGATTCCTACCTTGGAGGTATGGCAAGCGTTGATCCCCGGAATGACCCTGAAGGTTTTCGAAGACAATACGGCCGTGGTCTCGATTATCCAGAAAGGTTACTCCAATAAATTAAGGCATTTGAGTAAAACCCACCGCATAAATGTGGCCTCAACTGCCGAAACAGTCAACAATGCTGATGACATCACAGTCCAGCATATCGAAACGACTCAGCAGAAGGGTGACGTGTTTACTAAAGGCTTACCGTTGTCCAAATGGGGAAATGCCTTGGAGTTGTTGCAGTTCTCCCTGAGTCCGCTCCCGTCTTATGATGCAGGCAGGAGCTCGCATGACTAGAGCTAAGCAATAGTCAGCCGCAGTTCAAAGCTAAGCTAGATCTGCAATAAATGAAATGGTTAAAGCTAAGCGATAACCAGCAGCAGCTCGAAACTAAGTTAGATCTGCCTCGAATGAAAGTCATGACAATGCATGCAGCACAGTGCTACTGCCCAGCGTAGCGCCAAACTTGCATGTAGGGTGACTGGCTGCTTGAAGCGCCGCTCCCAAGCTGCCGTTCGTAAGCCTGTTAGGTTAAGCTTGCAGTCTTTCGATAGGAATTGTCAGGTCACAGACGGTTCAAGCAACGAAGCGACTGTCTCAGACCTGGAATACTAGCTGTACATATGTTCATCTCACTATGAGGGGGGACTTGAAGTTTCCTGCGTAAAGTACACCTCATATGTATAGACACAGTTCATGAACATTGTACTTTTGGCTCAAGTGATAAAAAGGCCGCAGCCGCTGCCACTTCGCGGACACGGCGGTCTTTACTGAGAGTTGGTTTCTTGGTGTTGTTTGTGTTGGTGTTCCGTTTTTCAACGGTTCAAGTATTACTAGTAGCGCAGTCCAGTACGAAGTCCATGGCAAGTCCCAGTTGGGCGGTTTGGATGATTCATGGATCCTACAGGGGCGGCCGAGTAGGATTTCTGTTTTTGTGCTTCTGGATTTCAACAAGGGTGCCATATCATATGGCTTTCTCGCAGATCATGCGTAGTATCATGCTTGTAGGAAACAAGATTTGGCTGCAGCGTTTGTACTTCCTAGCCGTTGATTCGGTCCATTCAGCGGTGAGCCGATCCGTAAGTCGACAACTGAGTGGCGACCAACCCCAGACCGGTCACCAGCCAAGACCGGACCGGTCAGCACATAAGCTATGCATCTGAGAGGTCCTCAGCCTCGAGGCACGCCGACGCTTGCTCGAAACTCGCTTCCAGATGCTTTTCTACGCTTCTGCCCCGCCGTTTCCAGGAGATATGGACCTGGAGGACTTCGACATTGATCAATTTCTGACGCTGGTGCTAGTTGGCTGCTGAAAACTCTGGGTCTTACTCAGACTCAAAGCCTCCATGTACGGAATATTTATATGTATATAATCTGTATATACATACATGCGTTTGTCCCGTTTATGAGCCTAATGTTTGCAAGTACTACATGCATGGAGTCTATGGGATATGATGGAAGTCGTCCGAAAGGGCTCCGGCATTCTGACAGATATGACCGGAGGCAAAACAAACGATGAAATATGGTGGGCTGGCTGGAGGATCTGGCTGGAGGATTCAACTTCTGTAGTTGAATCATGTTGCATTCCTGACTTGGGATGCGGAACTTTCAGTTGGAAATCAGTTGAAGTTCATGGACTATTTTATAGTATCCGAACTTTCAGGTTGAATTAGTCAAGCTTCAGCTGCTTCAACTCTGGGACTGGCAGCGTTTGTCCTTGTCCCAGAGCATACGGCCCAGCTTGTTAGGTTTGCAAATGTTTGAACATCAGCAGTTTTAGAAGCTATCTCCCGGATACTCTTGAGTTGTATAACACGTGTTAGGCGCCAGGATGCTGCCCTGGCTGCGAACTTGTAGAAACTAGGGTTCCATTCAGATCAGGGTCCTTTCCATTTTCCTTTGCATGCAGGCGGCACACACACACATCGCTGCCCCTTCAGCCGAGGAATATGTGGGTTGGAGAAATGATGGAAGATGGTGGAGTCGTTGATGACATGATGCAAGCAGTTCTGCCTTGGAGGAGTGACGAGGAGAAGATGATGCAGTTTATGGAAGAGACTCTTGGGCCGAGATCAGGACCCAGTTGGTCACGTGTTCACGTGTCAAGTGGCCATGTAATTTGGCAATCCTGACAGGTGCAGCAGTTGATAGTCTATGTTTGATTAATTATATATGTGTGTACTTGTTCTGAGCCTCCCTTGCATCCGGAAGCTGACACAATCAGTTGACACGACATAGTGGCTTTGCACTGCGGCTTTTGTATCCCAGACCCCCCCATGATCCTTGCGGTGAAGGCACGCAGAACGTTTCGGCTCGGATCTCGGCCAGGACAGGTTCGGCACGTTCGACCACTACACTTGGAAAACGGGTGAAACGTGGATGGCACCACCAGTTGTTGGATGAAAAGATGCTTCGATCCGAGGGCATCCCTGCCATCCACGTCTTCTCTTGCTGATGTGAGGGAGAAAAAAATCCCCGCAAAAGAAAGACACACACAAAACAACAAAAAAAAGACAAACACAATGAACACATTGGATAAATGTCTATATGTACAATATATAGGTGGGTGGCATGGCCACCTGGAGGACCATGGTCCGAATACCAAACATGTGGTGTTTCCACGTCACTAGAAGCGCGCGCTTCTTTGGGAGCTGAGGAACGTGGCACCCAGCGGAGGGAAGCTGCAATGCAAGGTGTGCCACTGGACAGGAATGGATGGGTCTCAGGATGTTTCCTTACTTTCTTACTTAGCTTTCAATAGCTTTTAAATCTGGGGGCAGCATGGGAGAGCCCGGTTGCTTTGGCTTAGTATACTGTATGTGTATGTAAATATATATATATATAACATATAAATATGTGTGAGTGTGTGTGTGTGTCACCGCCTGTGTCAAAGGCTCGTGACAGTTGCAGGGGGACGGGTCATCGCTGATACTGCCCGTCCAACGAAGAGGGTATCAGTTGGTGCTGAAGCGGTGGAGGACGCTCCACTGTGTATCTGCGAGTTTGAACTGTTGAGCAAGCTGTTTTCACCCCACTCTTCTGTAAAGGGCTAACGCGTGATGTTCAAACAATTCAGTTTTGCCGAAACAGCATTCTTTCGGTTATGCAAGTCAAGGTCTAATGCACCGGCAATGTGCTCACTAGACCAGCTCTTGCGAGCATCAATCTAAGTGTAAGGAAACTTGGGGTCGGGAACAGGCCTGGCATCAGAGAGGTCCCTGGGTGAAGGGCCGTGCCCTCCTTCACACGGCAAATTTATGCACATTTCTTGAACAACTGCCGTGCATCCAGTGTGATGGAGTTTCCTCAACTTAACCAGCTTGGGAGGCGCCAAGGGCTGCGTGCATTTGGGAACGGCTTTGTGGGCCGACACAGCTGGAACCCATATGCCCCTTGCACTGTGTGCTTGTAGCTGGTGTTTTCGAACGATTGAAATATATTAGACTCATCCCGCTGTAGATAGAATGTCCATGTCCCGGTGTATATTCTTAGGTCAAGCAAGGCCAAAACATAAGATAGATATTAGCGATTGCATGTTGTTCAAAAGATGTGAACTCAATCTCTGATTGATTAAGTCTGACAAGAATTGTAGATTTTATTGGAACAAAGGAATTCCGGGAATGACCTGGTGTTGCATCCGACCGAGGCCAACACGTGGGTTCGAATCAGCGACTCATGTTGGCCCATTTCGAGAAGAAACATCACTTGGACTGTGAGGCCTTGAGGGCCCAGGGGCCCAGGGGCCCGGGAGATTGAGCGGCCACACATGGAGCCACATAGGCCGAACCACCCCCAGTTGTGGTGCCATCAAGACAGTTGACAAAACCTTGAGTCGGCATGAGTCGGCTAGAGGCTGAGACGCGCAACAGTCAATTTTTCGGAAAAAACTGGTGACTCATCATACATCGCGAGCAGAAAATTGCCACAAAAACACCTCTGCGGTGAGGAGTGGGCCAAAGAGACCCTGAAAAGCATGATGCTTGGCCGCAACGATCGTTCTATGGCGAGAAAGGCCTTTCGACCGTTTCGACAGCGTGACGTCCGAAGAATTCCACGGTGACTACGACCAAGGTCAGCCCGACCCTCACCGTTTACGAGGTTCGGCGTTGACTTGAGTTGTTCTCAAGGTTTTGAAACAGGATCCCTTGACGTTTTATGTGTCTTTGTGTTTTTTCTAATTTCGGGATGAATTTTTGTAAGCGCCATGGCTTATTGGGTTGCCGGTGGAGAGCCTCCCAGGTGACCACGTGAACATCTCACGAGGGTCCAGCCCCCCGCCCCCACACACCTGGATGTGTTTACCAGATCGCCGGAGTGCTGTGCACTCGGCAGATGTGTTTTTGACCCAGCAAATGGCAAAGACAAAAGCAAGTCGGGTTTGTTTTGGAAAGAGGATATCATCTCAGTGGTTGGCCGTTGCACTGGGGCCGTTGCACTTGCCAATTCTTCAATTGTTGGAAGACAGCAAGGCCCCAGCAACCCATGACGTTGGTGGCTGCATGGCAAAACAACCATCCGGTCACTTCTTTCCTCGCGAGGAAGGCCTCATTCGAGTCTTTCATGAAGCAGGTCACAGGCAGGTCTTTGTGCAAGAAGGCTCCCTTTGGACATCGTGATGCCCTAATATTAGCAGATATTTGTGTGAGATATTTTTTCTATTTACGTACATCTATTTGCAGTACTAGGCAGAAGAAACCATGATGGAACTGGGAGATTGCGAACCGTTCCCGGAGAATGCTGGGCAGTTTGCATTCCGTCGCCTTCGACAGCGGCTTGCAGTGACAGCCCCGAGCAAATGGTCAGTAGGGGGTGGAGTTTGAAGCCATGGCCTAGAAGTAGAACACCTGGGCTCTAGTTTCAGTCATGTCATGATATGATATCATGACATGACTGAAAGAACGTCACGTCATGCCCCATCTTCCTTCGGGACAAGCTGCATCTTTGAGCCATGTGCTTGTTTTGTTCGGGTCAGGTTCATGCAGCAGATGAATTCAGAGGGCCAGAAAGGGACGGGATTGAGTCTCTGAAAGATACAGCCATAATTGCACTGTAATTATTACAGCCAGCAATTTGCTGGTACCTGTCACGCACCGGATTAGGGACATTGTTCAACAAAGATCCATACTCTGTACCTTTTGATCCTTCTGGTTCTTTTTCTCTTTGCAGGCCTTGGAGATCCCAGCGGTGAGTTCCTCATGCCCGACGGCAGCAAGGCGGAGATGTCCAAGGCTGGTTGCATCAACGGCGAATTGGAGATGGTGATGGTGGTGAGTGAGTTTGTTTTGGCTTTAGATCTGCTGGGTTCTTCGCAGGTGGCCGTCGGGCAAGTTTGCAGTGGCTTGGGCTCGCCCATCCCAATCAGGTAGCCTAAGTGGAAAGTTATCATGGGCTCATAGACCTAGACTAGCTTCTACAAGAAAGGAAAGGGAGGCCAGAAAGGACATAGAATGAGATACTGCCGTGCATGACTCACGTCCTGACAGTGACAGTCCTCTTGTGCTATGGCCTTTTCGGAGGCTCCCCCCCATGGCCGGACTTCGTGAGGTGCCGGGTGTCCCTGACATCCGTGCCCACATGCAGAAGCGCATGGACAAAGCCAAGGTGCTGGAACAAGTCTTGGAGATGCCTCCTGGCCCGTCAGGGTATATTGGTGGTGCCATGGTGCCATGGAGATATACTGCATACGGAAGTGTAAGCTCTCTCACCCAGCGGTTGGGAGAGCTTCGGCTGTGTCGGCTGTACAGGACTTGGTGAGTTGATTGGACAGGGTTACCGGTCCACAGCCGGTCTCCTTTGTACAACATGGTGCAACCGGACTTCAGCACGAAGGGTGTAGTCACCTCAAGTAAGCCCAACCATGAGCTGCAAACCAACTCGCTCCCCTGTCGTCTAGAGTCTAGACTGGGAGCAGAGGGGGGACGTCCGACCGATGCGATCCGCTCAGGTATCGCACAGTGGCTGCCGAAGAGGTGGAAGACAGTGAGGTGAAAGCTCCGGGCATGGAGAGGAGGTAGATGTGGAGCCCACAAATACCAATCATCCATAAGACAACGTCTTTGCTCACAATTACCATTCATGTTTGAACATCATCATTTTAACATAAGTTGTAATTATATATATATATAAGTGGGGGGCATGCGGCATATGGCATAGAGCTGAGCGGTCATACATGAAAAAAGAACCACATCATTTTATGTAATACAGCTGAGCGGTCATTTTTTTGAAAAAACACATCATTTTAACACAAGTGCTTGTAATTAAGTGGGGGCATAGAGCTGAGCGGCCATTTTTGAGAAGAAAAAAAGTCATCATCTATCATTTTAACATAAGTCTTTGTAGTTAAGTCGGTGCATAGAGCTGAGCGGTCAATATTGAAAAAAAAACAACACATCATCTATCATCTTAACATAAGTGTGTGTGATTAAGTAGGGGCATAGAGCTGAGCGGTCATTTTTGAGTAACCATGTCACCTTAACATAATTGCTTGTAATTGAGTGGGGGCATAGAGCTGAGCTGAGCGGTCATTTTGGACAAGAAACACGTAATCTATCATCATAACATCAGTTTTTGTGATTAAGTGGGGGCATAGAGCTGAGCTGAGCGGTCATTTTTGAAAAAATAACATCATCTATCATCTTGCATAGAGCTGAGCGGTCATTTTGGAAAACATGTCACCTTAACCAAATTGCTTGTAATTAAGTGGGGGCGTAGAGCTGAGCTGAGCGGTCATTTTTGGAAAGACGCATCATTTATCATCTTAACATAAGTGCTTTTTTTAAGTGGGGGCATAGAGCTGAGCGGTCATTTTGGAAACAACCATGCGCATCATCTATCATCTTAACATCAGTGTTTGTGATTTTGTGGGGCCATAGAGCTGAGCTGAGCGGTCATTTTTGAAAAAAGAATACATCATCTATCATCTTAACATAAGTGTTTGTGATTGAGTGGGGGCATAGAGCTGAGCTGAGCGGTCTTTTTTGAAAACACATAAAGAACTTCATCTATCATCTTAACATAAGTTTTGGTGATTAAGTGGGGGCATAGAGCTGAGCGGTCATTTTTGAAAAAAACATATAATTTATCATCTTAACATACGTGTTCGTGATTATGTGGAGGCATACAGCTGAGCTGAGCGGTCATTTTTGACAAGAAACACATCATCTATCATCACAACATCAGTTTTTGTGATTAAGTGGGAGCATAGAGCTGAGCGGTCATTTTGAAAAAACAACACATCATCTATCATCTTAACATAAGTGTTTGTGATTAAGTGGGGGCATTGAGTTGAGCGGTCATTTTTGAAACACATGTCACCTTAACATAATTGCTTGTAATTACGTGGGGGCATAGAGCTGAGCTGAGCGGTCATGTTGGACAAGAAACACATAATCTATCATCATAACATCGGTTTAAGTGGGGGCATAGAGCTGAGCTGAGCGGTCATTTTTGCAAAAAAAATAACATCATCTTAACATAAGTTTTTTGTGATTGAGTGGGGCATAGAGCTGAGCGGTCATTTTTGAAAGAATGTCACCTTAACATATTATTTGCTTGTAATTAAGTGGGGGCATAGAGCTGAGCTGAGCGGTCGTTTTTGGAAAAGACACATCATCTATCATCTTAACATAAGTGTTTGTGATTGAGTGGGGGCATAGAGCTGAGCTGAGCGGTCTTTTTTGAAAAAACAAAAGGAACTTCATCTATCATCTTAACATAAGTTTTGGTGATTAAGTGGGGGCATAGAGCTGAGCGGTCATTTTTGAAAAAATACATATCATTTATCATTTTAACATACGTGTTTGTGATTATATATGTGGGGGCATAGAGCTGAGCTGAGCGGTGATTTTTGAAAACACACATCATATCTATCATTTTTACATAAGTGTTTGTGATTCAGTGGGGCATAGAGCTGAGCGGTCATGTTTGAAAAAAACAACATGCACATCATTTATCATCTTAACATAAGTGTTTGTGATTAAGTGGGTGCATAGAGCTGAGGGGTCATGATTCAGCAAATGTCACCTTAACATAATTGCTTGCAATTACGTGGGGGCATAGAGCTGAGCTGAGAGGTTTTAAAGTAAACAACAACAACACATCATCCATCATTTTAACATAAGTTTTTGTGATTAAGTGGGGGCATAGAGCTGAGGGTCATTTTTGACAAGAACACATCATCTATCCTCTTAACATAAGTGTTTGTGATTATATAAGTGGGGCATAGAGCTGAGCGGTCGTTTTAGACAAAATGTCACCTTAACATAATTGCTTTGTAATTAAGTGGGGGCATAGAGCTGAGCTGAGCGGTCATTATTGAAAAAATCACATAATCTTTTGAACACATGTCACCTTAACATATTTGCTTGTAATTAAGTGGGGACATAGAGCTGAGCTGAGCGGTCATTTTTGAAAAACAACACATCAAATATCATCTTAACATATGTGTTTGTGATTAAGTGGGGGCATAGAGCTGACCGGTCATTGTTGAAAAAAGACACATCATAAATCATCTTAACATAAGTTTTTGTCATTAAGTGGGGCATAGAGCTGAGGGGTCATGATTGGAAAAATGTCACCTTAACATAATTGCTTGTAATTACGTGGGGGCATAGAGCTGAGCGGTCATTTTTGAAAACATGTAACCTTAACATAATTGTTTGTAATTAAGTGGGGGCATAGAGCTAACAACCTGATTTTGGCCGGTTTTGTGGGTCTTCCGTTCGGCCACCTGCTTAGGGCCCACGCCGCTCACGCCGCCCAGGCCGCCGCGTCCAGCCCGGACGAGGTGCGAATGGCGAAGGCAAAGGCGACGCCGGAGCGGATCGCAGAGGTGCTGGATGTGACTCTGGAGGAAGCCCAGCGGCTGAAGGATGACAGGTGCGGAAGGATGACAGGTGGGGGGAAGATGTTGAATTTGAGGATGCCGCACTTCGGCCACACTTCGAGAGGTTTCATGTTTCATGAGGGTTTGAAATGCATTCCATATGTACTCCATCTCCATGGGACTGGGAATGTTTACCTACATTGCAAGTGGCAAGTGGTTCCAGTTTCAGGGTACACCATCTTCCGGAAGCCACGTGCAAAAAGCGGACCAGCGGACACCGGAGTCCGGGGCCAAGCTGTGAGCCTGTGCCCAACTCTCCGTTCCGACTGCTCCGCTTCGCCCGTTCGCCAGCAGTCGCAACAGCTGAGCGACGATGTTGAAAGTCGTGGTTTCTGTCAGGGAGGAGCTTCTGCGCCAGCTCAAAATGCGCATTGATGAGCTGAGCGCAGCCACGAAGATGCAGGGGCTCGTGGGTGGGGAAGCCCCGTGTGCGATTTGCCAGGAAGTAGAAGCTCCATGCGCTCAGGAAGATGAACTGTCCAGTGTTTGATGTGTTTATAAGTTTATATCATTCCGACCGATTAACATTTCACAACGCACACCCTGTCTGTTTTGTTTTCCTGCCAAGAAAAGCCCGTGTTTGTGGTAGACAACGGCCAGAGATATGCTGCAAATGGCTTCACTTTTTGGGTCACGGCCACGCTTCGGAGCTAAGGAGGATGAAGAGGAGGAACTGCTTGAATCCATGGCCGCCTTCGGAGGCCTTCGGCGAGTGAGAAGGGCGGAAGAGGCGGAAGAGGCGTTCAGTCCACTGCCATACTGTGAGGGTTCCATTGGATATCCATACCCGGACACCATACTGTTATTTTTTAACCTAGACTATATAAACTTATAATCCTATAGACCCCCTGAAACCGTTCCGCTGTAGGAAAGCAGTCCGTACATGGAGTGTTTGGTTCTGTTGTGACACGGTGAGACGGGGGAAGTTCTCCAGAGCAACGCAACATCCAACATCGTACCAGGGTTGCCTTGAATTGAAAAATCTTGAAACACTTTTGGATGTCAAGGCTTCTCATGCTGCATCAAGGTATTGAAAGGACGCCGCATTTTTGACCAGTGAGTTGTGGAAACTGCAAAACAGCACAAACCCGGCACTCTTTGCACGACCGAAGGTCTATAGCTGTGCCAAAAAATCATAAAAAATCGCTGGTCTAGCTCTAGCCCCGGATAGATCCGATCTCTTCATATCACTTTGGACAGGTGGCATGGATGGCGCGGACTTCGGCCTCGGCGGCTTTGGTCCGGGCGGCCTGGGCGGCTTGGAGGACGCAGTGTGGAACGGGGCAGGCTTTCTGAAAGTCACGGGGTGGAGAAAGATGCTAAACTCACTCAAGCAGCATCCATTGTCCAAATTTGGAGAAACACCCATACATACAATGGCTTCATGCCTCTCAGCGTGACTTGCCCTAGACCCTGGAATGTTGCATGAACATGTTGATGCTGGCTTTGACCACTGGTCACTGATCAGAGATCATTGCCTACTTGGGGAGAGAATTCTTTGCGGCGCAGGGTTGCAGGACTCACAAAAAGGTACTGTACATTCTGCCCATCGCGAGGGCCGGTACTTGCATACAGCGTACGTCCAGACCAATGTGGAGTGTTGAGTTGCATATACCCCCCTTGTAATCCCTTGAAACGATCGAGGAAGTCTGAATGGAGTGATTCCCCACGAAACCAATTATCGCCTATAGGAATTGTTAATTATATAATGAAGCAACAGAGCATGAATTTTGTTGAATTGGTTTCAACAAGGGGGCACATGGGGATCAATAGCAGTCCTTCCCCGTCCATTGCCAATTGGAATTCCCGGGCTGCAAACCGGAAAGAATCATTGCAAAGCAAAGTGGAAAGCAACAAGAAACCAATCAAAAGAGATCAGAGGTTCAGTGGCGAATTCTATTGCAGCAGTTTTTGCACTTTTCTGACCCCCTACACAATGAATATAAAGCAATTCAAGGGCCAGCCTGGACTACCCCCTTCAAACATTGATTTGGTAGCAGTAGCATGTTGATAGGGTTTCAAGCATGAGGAATTTTGATATGAGGGATCGGCTCAGAGTCCCAGCACCAAAGATGGACTTTCTTTTATGTCAGTAAAGAACAAGAAGCAATAGGAATTCCAACGGAAACAAATGGACATCAATAGGAACCACAGAGGTGGTGGTTAAAGTGTACTCAAGCAGGGAGAACCAATTGAAGGAAGGACAATTGTCAACAAATCCACCGAGAGATACCGAGAGAAACACACGACTTCTGACTTTCTATATTAAAATGGTCGGACGTCCTGACTTCAGCATGGAACGCACAACAGGATCTCACATCATTGCATGTCCGGACCTGTTGGGCCCAATTTGCTTGACAGGATTTGCAGGATCTTCTGCAGGGTGATCCGCAGATGGAGGCGATCTGCGGTTAGGGATGAAGGACCCAACTTGATCCTTCTCGGGGGCATCATGCGTCATGGCAGGCAAGTATAGGCAGCAAAGCGGTATAGCGTCTTAGAGAGGGCGCAACATCACGCAACATCCAATTTCGCAGCACGAAGGCTGATGAAGTCCACTCAAGAGAGTGGATCTTGAGGGGTTGTTTGGATATTTTACAGTCATTCTTCCGCTCGAGGCGCTGCTGGGGCAACTGGGTGGCGGACTGCCGTTTGGTGGGCCCATGGGCATGCCGGGCATGCCAGGATTCCGGCAGGACACGGAGCATGCAGCTGGGTGTCTTCGGTTTGAGCATCCCTCAGCATCCACAGCTTGCGATCCGAGGTGATTTGGATTCTACAGCTTGCCCAGAAATCTCACCTCCAGCAGTCTGGGAGTGAAGATGCATCCGTCTGCCATTTCCAATCACTTGCCAAGCGCCCTTTGTAGCCTACTGATGTGCACGCCATCCCTTAACACCATAGAGGATCCGTGGAACTGATCGATCTGTTCTCCTATTTTGTGACAAGGTCAGCACGGTCAGGGGGGCTTCGCAGAGCTGACAGCTGGTTGGAGATGGTTTTTCTTCAGCCTTAGTGACTTCAGTCATCTTTCGCTGGCCGATTTCGCCCACGCCGATCGTCTTCGGAGCCCTGCGTGGGACGGTCGCTCGCTGGCCAGGAGGGAGCTCAGAGGCGCGATTTTCGATGGGAGGGAAATGAGAGGGTGAAAGCGCCAAGAAGGCCCCACATGAATTCTTGGACCTGGGTTTCGGAAAGTGGGCTCATGATCGAACGGTCGCTTTTTCTGGAAGAAAACCCAAGAGGTGAAAAGCCCAGAGGACCTGTGGGTTGCATGATAAATGTTCATAGGCTGCACCAGCTTAAGATTCTCTTCGGATACATCCGGATACATAAGATATTCCAATTATATAATTGAGCTGTGTATGTGTATATAAGCAAACATACACATTTACACCGAAAACCATTTTGTGTTGACATGTTTTGACCGCACCTGACTTGGTCCATGGATGTAAGATTTTTAGGGTTCAACAGGTTCAAAGAAAGACCTTTTGGTTCCCTCTTTGGCAGTGGGAAGACTATAAGCCTACACTGAACCAGTCATTGTCCGATGCGTTGGCACAATGGGCTGCGCAAGATTTGTACAGTCTTTCCAGCTTTAGCTTGCACTTAGTCAGTCACTCAGTGGATCAGCGAGCGGTCTGGCGACAGCGAACTCCAGCAGGTTTGCTCGGAGTTCGCAGGACGGGAGGGAAACTGCCGGTCCACTCGCAGTGGAAATCTACTTCTTTTTTTTAAATCTATATATAGAACACCCAACGTTCTCGTGAAAACCGATGAGACCTTTGTGGATGGGAGCCGGGCTTGCCCGGTGCGATTCTTTCGAAACCAAAACAGGCATGCCGACTCGGGGTGGAAAGGTTCGCGGTGAACATGTGTACGAATGCAATGCGTAGCATTCATAGAAAGGTGGAACCAGAAACTTTGACCCTGGGAAATCCTGAAAGAAAAGTCCCAACCCTCCTTGTCCTAGCAGTCTGGGTTTTCACAAGGGAGGGGAGGGAGGCAGTGAGTGAGTGAGTGAGTGAGTGAGTTGCATCATAAAGGTTTCAAAGTTTGCATCGTATAGTGTATGGCTGGTCGCTGTTGATCGACGGGGCACAGCGCCAAGAAGGACGGCTACGAGCGCTTTGAGCGGCCTGCGAGGAGGAGGACTCCGCCACAAGAGTCACCTGGCCAAATGCTGCATGGTGTATGACTGATTTTTATATAAGCCACTGCTGAAACCAGTGATGATGATGATGATTATTATTATTATTACGTCTGAAGGAGTTGCCAGTTGCTGGAAAAGGACCAAGCGGATGGACGACACCAAGACATCACAAAAGAAAAACACACCGCGCCGTTCACCCAGTGGATCGATTAAGTGATCACTAGATCACCACCCCCTTAGGCACTGAAAACAGGGGGGGACCTTTTTATTGTAACTTACTTTTTCGGGGGGGATGATAAACGTAACTTACCACCCCCCCTGGTCCAGTTTCAGGCCTTTTTGGGGGGGGTGGGGGGGGGGTTGGACCTTGCTCACGCAGCCAGCAAAATCAAGCAAAGGCGTAGAAGGTTGCTTCATTTTGTGTCTGTGAAAGCTTCAAAGTTACATTTTGACCCCCTCCCCCCAAAAAACACATGCGCGGACTGGAGATCTCTGGCAGATCCCTGGGGAAATCGGGGGAAACACCGACAGAAGAGACGCAGAAAAAACATGGGGGGGGGGTCGTGAAAAAATGTAAATTACATTTATTGACGTCCAGGTCCCCACCTGTTTTTATAGATAGAAAAATGTAACTTAGGGAGGTCGGACGTCTTCTTTCAGAAGGCCAAAGCAGCAAAAACCCAAATGCTTCTTGCTTTTGACAAGACATAAATGTAACATGCAGAAAGCAGGCTTGAAAATGCATGGCCACCATAGCATTTCAGCCAAGCGTGTGACCCTGTGACAAGCTGCGCACTCGACAGCAATGATTGAGGGCACCGGCAAATCTAGAGAAACAACATCTAGAAAGAAGATAAACCTTAAGAAGGACATACTTAAGAGAACATGTAAGCTGGGAACCTGGGAGAAGCCAAAATTAGGGAGAGCACCAGCAAATCTAGAGAAACACCAGCTACAGCTACTGTAGAACGAAGATAAGTCTTCCGAAAGACATACCAACTTTCCCGAGAAAATGTAAGCTGAGAACCTTGGATGAGGCAAAATTGGGGAGGGCACCAGCAAAAAGGATAAGCCTCAAGAAGGACATACCTGAAAACAAAATGTAAGTTGGGAACCTGGGGGAAGCCAAAATTGGGGAGAGCGCCCGCAAACCTAGAGAAACAGCAGCTACAGCTAGAAAGAAGATCTGCAGAAGGACATTCCTACTTTACAGAGAAAATGTAAGCTGAGAACCTGGGATAAGCAAAGAATGTGGAGGGCACCAGCAAATCTAGAGAAACAACAGCTAGAAAGACGATAAACTTTAATAAGGACATACCTACTTTAAAGAGAAAAATGTAAGCTGAGAACCTTGGATGAGGCAAAACTGGGGAGGGCGCCAGCAAATCTAGAGAAACAACAGCTAGAAAGAAGATGAGCCTTAAGAAGGACATACCTGAAAAGAAACTGTAATTACGCTGGGAACCAGGGACAAACCAAAACTGGGGAGAGCGCCAGCAAAAGCTTGCGAAATCAGTTCCGTCCGCCAAAGCTTGCTAACGTGTTTTTGCTCAGAATATCCAAAACGCAAGTCGCGAAAGTGTTGCGAAAGGAACTTGCGAAAGAAAAGCCCATTAGAACAAATTCCCGATAGGTTTTGAGCAATGCTCACATGATCTCACATGTCTGTGCAATCTGTGCATGCTTTCCCATACGTCCCCTAATTGTAACTTACATTTTCTTTATAATGTAACTTACATGTCTGTTGAGGTCATTTCAGGCATGTTGGCACCTGGAAAATGTAATATTACATTTTCTACGTCTTGCAAGGAAAATGTTAGATTACATTTTCCAGGTACCAACCTATGGTACCAACCTATGGAAAAATATTACATTTTCATGGGGGTGGGGATATCACTAGGTGTTCCGACCGAAGGCCCAGACCCCCAGAACCCTTGTCATTTGGACGTTGTGCTTGAGACCTCCCCCCCCTCGTAGGTCCTGTTTCACGAAACTGGTCAAGTCTCAATTTCAATCACTTCAGTTGTGGAGCGGAGAGATGGTATAGGGCGGCCTGGGCCTGGTACTCGTAGGGTTGCATCAACGCACTCAGTCCGATTTGACTCAATCAGACTCCGATTTCGTGAGAGGCATCGAACGGATCGGTTGTCGGCCTGATGGCCGATCACAGATCAGTGCCCAATTATATAATACCAATTTCCCTTGGCATCCTATGATTTCTTTGTGTGTTGAGGATGGGTGCAACAGCGCAAACACACGTAAGCACCATGCGGAGAAACATGTGTCACTTTCAATCAATGAGGCAGGAGGAAGAGATTGGGTGCATTTGCGGCTATACTTGTGGAACGGAGAAGGCCGGTGCCGAGGTTTTGGGCCAAGGCCAAGGGCTGTGCGATTGAAGTCATTTCTCCCTTTTTCAAAAAATGGGTGCTCATTTAGTTGACATGTTCTAGCAAGTGCAACGCAGAGATGCCCAGAACAGGTTTAGTTCCTTTGGGACCACAGCTGTTCAACAGCTGGGTTTGAGAGCTGCATCTATTCTCCTACCGTCCTACCCCTGCAGATCCAAAGGCCCCGCTGGTACCTCATTGAGTATTGAGTAGTGCTTTCGTATGATCAACTCCAGTACATGAAGCTTGTTTGCCTGTAGGGTATAGTTTTTGCAATGACCACCTTCTTCACCACCTTCTTCACCACCACCATCACCACCATCACCAACACCAACACCAACACCAACACCACCAACAACAACAGCAGCAACAACAACAACAACAACGCCACCACCATCATCACCACCATCACCACGATCACCACCTTCATCACCACCATCATCGCCACCATCACCTCTCTCTGGAGCCCACTGCGCCTAGATCGACCTTCTGCATCTACACCTCTAGACCTTAGACCTTTAGATACACCGTTTGGGGTCTCTTGCCGGGATAATAGGTTTTGACATGTTTTGACTTTTGACTGCATACTTCTCCGACACCGAGGCGTTGCAAAGGCATTTGGACCGCTTCCCGAGTGATGCCGCCCATCGGGATGCCAGGCGGCGGTGAGGCCGCGTGGGTGTGCGGCCTTTGTCGGGTCCTGTTTTTTTCCTCGTTGGGGGTGCTGACTTCATCCAACCCTATAATGAACGACCAATGCGGAGTTGGTCTTTTTCAGGATTCAACAGGTAAAGACAGTGCTGATTCGTTTTGCCAAAAAACACGAGCGGTTCTTGTGTGGGTTCTTCCTGTTGGGCCGCTGATCAGCAACCCCGTAGCGCTGGCCAAGGCCTTGAAGGCCTCCGCCCAATTCGATCCTATTCATTCAATTCTGCACAAGCACTGCTTGGCCGGCTCCCGGGATCCATACAGTAGCAATAATTGTGTGGATGGACGTGTTGAACTCTGCAAGAAGATGAACTCACATGAAATCGGATCAATGATGCTGCTTCCCCCACCAGAGGAACTTAAATATCAACTGTAGCACTGTAGGTACCAAACATAGATGGCAACTGCAGTTTGACCAATTCTGACCATTTTCAACCGAGTTGTGATGAGGATCCTGTATCACTTCGTGGAACGTGAACGTGTGACTTGCCGCCGCTGGGACGATGGCGAAGCAGGTTTTTTCGTCCGGCTTCTGAACAAACTCCCTCCACCGGTCTGGTTTTCGGATTGCATGGTCCTCCTTGAAGGGAAGAATTCAGTGGTTTGGTTTTCTGGAGCTTCCAAACCCTCCAGTGCAAAGACACCTGTCACCGGAGCGGAGCCCACGCAGGCGGCTGAACGGGGGAGCGATTGGAGCCCTGTGCGTTCTCGCCAAAAGGGTGGTGGACCGGCGATGCGCAAGGGGAGACGAGGGGCTTCACAACCAAGCCTGGGTTTTTGTTTGGCTCATCACCGATGGACTGGAAAGAACATGGGGACACTAGCGGAATTGATGACGATTTTTTTAATTACTTTAACTTTCAACCAATAGTTGTGGGATGTTATTCGGGAAATATGCTGAATTGTTAAGGACTTAAGCTTAGGCCCTCCAACATCTTGGCACTTGAGCTTTGGCCCACTTGGCGCCGCCACATTGTTTCCGTTTGAGAATCAATAACAAGAACCAACGGCCAACGGCGGTCGAACGGTTGAACCACGGATGAACTCAAAGGAAACCAACTCTGTGAAAGCTGCAGCATCTTCAGCACAGCTTGCATTCACTACAGAACTGGAAGACTGATGATGTATCTCTTCTTGCCATGTGTATTCGTTATAAGACTTTTGGTTTCTTTTCTCCAGAAATGGACTTCTTCTTCACTGGCTTAGGCCGTCCCCTGAACGAACCAAAAAGCCCTTCACTGCAGCTCGTAGATGTATTGCTTAATAATATAATGTTGTGCCCCACTTTGCCACAGCAAGAGCATATTTCTGTGGTGCTTGATTGAGCGCGTGAAGTCTCCTTTTTTCTTGGACTTGGCCATTTGCTTCAAGTCACACCTCACTATCACAGTAAGTCCCATGATCCAAGACAGCTTTGTATCCCAAAGTATGGTTGAATCATGAAGATCACCTCCAAAAGTACCAGAATAGTACCAGGTCATTTCTCCACTTGCGCCTCCAAAAGACATGCGCTCGAGCGCGCGCCGATTCCGCCGGAGGTGGGCGAACAGAAGGACCGAGCCGTTGAAAGGTCGAGAGGACGCAGTTTCATCGGTCCAGATCTTGGTCTTGGTTGGGTGTGGATTTCTAAGGACTAGAAAGGCCACTGGAAGGCTTGGAGACATCCCACATCATCCCACAAGCAATGATTTTTTTGGTAGGTTTATCTTCTGAACCTTGCGGGGGTTCGAACTGGGAGGTTTCCCTTTACGTTGGACCCTGTCATGGCTTAACATGACAGGCTTCCTCACGGCATCGAATGAAGATGCCGATCGAGTGGGCGGGGGATGGCCCGCATGAGAGCCAAGGTGACCCACGCACATGTTCCAACCCCAACACATATTCATCTACCGACCGACCCAAGGACGGTTGGTTTTGGAACTGTACGAAATGAAGCATCAGCACCAGGTTTTGTGCGCTCCTTGCAAAACCACTGACAACCTGGTTCAACGTGTAAAGCAGAGCTCTCTTCAGAGGAAGCGTGGCATCAATGACCCATGCATGTTGTCACGAAAGGTTGCTAGGCAACGAGTTTGATAAGCTTTAGCTTAGGAGTGGGATTGTCCTCCATGACCTGATTGTTGTATTTTCAAGATGACCCCCCCCCGGGTTCAATTCGGCTGAGGGGCAGAATACCTGAGTCAATGTACCTTAACAATCCTTGACAGCCTGTGTCAATGACCACACGTTTTATATAATATTTAGTTTGTTGGGGCTGGGGCTGGTCGATATCAGGGCCAATGGGGGATATCTCTTCCCCGATGGTGTCGGTCTCATGCCCCGCGTGTTGCTGTTCATGCACCCTCCGGTCTATACCAAACCAACCTTTCGTCCACCCCCCCTTACTCAATGTCCAAGTCACTTGCGGTTTGTGTGGCTATGACTAGTTGCACCCCACCCCACCATGCATTTTTGGGGCACCTCATGGTCATGGTGTACGTCTTTAGCACGTGTGGAAGCTGTTGGACCCAAGGCCGTAGGATTGAGATGGATTGATCATGATGCGCAACTTGACCACTGCTTGGACATAGCTGCAGTTCCTACTCAGTTCCCATAAAGAAGGAGTCCTTTGATGTAATTTCGGACATGAAGCTGTGAAGCCTTGATGAAACACGCGCTGCCTTGAGGCCCAGCAACACTCCAGGAGCCCATGAGTAAGGGTATATGGGGCCATGATACGCCATGTAGCTTGACCTCCAAGGTAGGTTTCCCAGAAAGCGTCTTGGAAACGGCAATTGTAAGTTACCATTAATTGAAGTTATGTAAGTATATATATATATATATTTTTTTATACACCATAAATACTGACTGTATATGATGTATATAGTATATACTTTGTTAGAGACACACACACACACACTTGCACATGAAAACCCGCCTCATCGTTGCGACCGTATGGCGTAGTTTCAGCACTGGGTGATTTGCCGAGGCCCTTTGCTTGCGACCGGGAGCATTGCAGACTCACGGAATGTCACGCTCAATGGTGCTCATTGAACATTGAGGTACGATACGGTATATGTTTCTTTCGATGTTCCTTTCGGTGTTCTTGGTATGATGGGTGTCCATGCTCAAACCGTCCATTTCGAGACCCATCGCTGGCCGACGCGCGGCGCCTTTCAGCCCAAGCGATCGCAGAGCGTTTCAGCCGCAAAGACCCGTCGGCCCCATGGACGTGGACTATGACGAGGAGGTGGAGGACACTCGTCCCGCGGGGCGACGCATGAAGGGCCGCGGAGGTGAGGATGATGATCGTTATGCCACTTGGATAGACCAGTTCCCTCGCCAGACTTCCCTATCCCTTTCCTTTCCTGGTATGTAGGCAGGTAGCCACTGGAAGGGTAGGAGGTTGCACAGACCCGGGTCCTTGCAACGCCAGACCACTGAGCAGGGTTTGCTCGACTCCCCAGTTTAGCCAAACATGGTCGAAGCACCAACCATATGGAACATGCTTGCCTACAGTGAGCTACAAGCAAAGAACATGCAAAGAACTCTAACTACTATATTGGACTGCGTAGAAAATCCAAGGGGCCTATAGTACCACTTCCAGGGCCTTTGTTTCAGGGATCCCGTAGGTTTCTTGGAGTTGTCAGCTCGAAGTGGTCCCCAAAACTGACCGTTTTCTCCCAAATTCCCAATTCTTTGGGGATTTAGCTTCTGTATGGTTACGTGATTCAAGGATATTATCAGACCCCATGTCATCGTTTATATATGGGTCTTGGCAGTCTTGGTGTATTCATTTCTGGGCTCCGTGTTGTTTCTTGAACATGTCACGTCACCATCCCATCACGCTTTCCCTCAAGCATGCTTTTCCCCACGCTTAAACAGCATAGAATCGAATTGTTTCAATGAGCCCAGCGACTTGATTTTACCAACCTCAGTTTCACCATGGCCATGGAGTCCATATATGATACTTCACGCATATATATGTTATATATATATATATTCATCACACCTTGCATACATTATATAATATATAATGTAGGGAATGATTCTGTTTAGTCCGGAGTCAAGCCAAACTGTTGATAAGGCCGGGGTAGGCATCTTCTAAGAGGTGTCCAGGACAACAAGTCGGTAAAGTAAGATCCCACTCTTGGATGGTGGCAGATGGAGCGAAAGATGTTTTCACAGGAACCTCGCAGGCCTCCCAATTGATTATAATTGCAAGGTGCAACGTAAGGAAAGCCATGTCACATCATTTCACGGACCGATTGGATGCCTCCCCAAACCAACCGCACCCACGATCTGGTCCTGGTGAGTCGTAGAGATCTTCGACCACTGAAGACCGACACCGAGCGCTTGAGGCGGGCAAAGCAGGGAAGTTCGAGCGCTTGGACGATGATGACGATGAGACCGGCGCTGCCCGCTCCATCGAAGGGTGGGTGGTCATCGTCTCGGGCGTCCATGAGGAAGCGCAGGAGGAGCCGTGTCCCGAGCCGTGTCGTCACCGAGCCGAAGCGAGACGGAAGGAGAAAGGAGGCGTTGCACAAACGGAGAAGAATAACATTAAGGAAACGTTGCTGAAGGAAAGAGGAAGGTGGCTTTAGCACGCATGCAGAATAGGATGCAGAATGAACATGTTCTTCATCCCAGTCACTGTGCGTGTGAATGCCGACCTGACCAAGCGGGATTGAACCAAAAGATGTGGGAGGATGACATCTTCGAAGCCTTCTCCGAGTACGGCGACATCAAAAACCTCCATTTGAACCTAGATCGCCGTACGGGCTTCGTGAAGGGCTATGCCTTCATCGAGTACCTTGGGCTGTGAACACCCTTGGACAACTCTTGGCGTTTTAACACAGACTCTTCGAAGGTCAGCCTTGGATACCTGGGGATGATCTCAAAGTCTGTTTCATCAAGCGGGTGGTTGTGGTTGTGGTTCTTCAAGCAAGCAGACGTATGGACATACCGTATGGAGATTAAACCGTCGTCAACAAACAGTTCTTCCGAACAAAAACCGTTTGTGGTTCCAAACGCCAAGCGCAGCTTTTGAAATCTTGAAAGTCAATACTATATATAATATATATATTTTTTTATATGCATTGTGGGAATTGTTTTCTTTGCGCTGTTCGATGCGGTGCTACTTGTTAAGCCGCGGGTTGAGGTGTTATACCTCCTAATCAGTTCTGGCTTTGCGGAACCTGGTGGAGCTCAAGCACTTGCCCATGGCTGATATTCTTTGGAATGTAGGTCCAGGTATGAACTTACCTCGGTCCCCTCAACTCAAATCATCGGTTCTTATAGACGTCCCTTTCCCCCCCATCGCGGCAAGTTCCTATTATATAATTAGGTCGACCGGAGAAACAACTTCATTGAGGCCCCTAAGAGGGGGGGCTTTCGTGAGGTATGTGGGGTACTTAGGGCCAGTTGGGTTTGTGTGAATGGCTTTTGAACCCTAATTCTTGCTCAGGTATGAGAATAAGCAGGAGGCTGATCTCGCTGTGAAGTCGATGGATGGCAACACCCTGCTGGATCACAAGCTGGAGGCGTTCTTTTTGTTTTTTTGAGGGGGGGTTGTCACCACCAAAAGTACTGGTACTTTTGCACTGGAAGGTGTCACCCCCCGCCCTCAGGTGAGTTGGGCCTTCGCCAAGCCTGGCAGCAAGAAGAAGGGCCGCAGGTGAAGCCTTGAACGGAGAAGCCGTGATTGTTGGCACTGGATTGGTCAATTGGCCCGCCCTCTTGGGGTGTACGCAGGCAGGTGACTTCTCCGTGGTTGATGGAACTTTTACCCCATAGAAGTCCAGAAACTATGCTGTACTTTCCTTAGTGAAGCGAGTTCCCTTTCAGGTCCCCTTAAAGACCACCGCATTCTTTTATATTCTTGTCATAGTTGTTTATAGCCTTTGACTTTCAGGGTATATATGAATAGATTTGGCACATGTTCTTGGACAGCTGTTTCTTTTTGAGTCCGATGGTGGTGACGTGACCCCGGGAGGGTGACCAAGTCCTGTCGAGATTGATGTTATGAACTCTGGAACCCAGAGGAGGCGACCGGACAATGCGTCTCACTCGAGAGGAAACAAGAAAGAACCGAAATCGCGCTCCAAGCCGGTGAACACCGTAAATGGTACAGAGATTAAGGCCCACTATATTGAGACCCACGTCGCGCAGTACCTCAAGACTCGAAGCGGAATTACTACTTTTTTAGAGCCACGAGAAGTGCCTGGTTCCATGATTTTTCATGTTTCCTGGTTCCCTAGAAGCAAATCCAAGAGTGTGACAGGCTTCAGTTTTATCGAACGAAGTGGGATTCTTCGCTTTGACGATGGCAATCGAACTCTGGAGGGGCATCTGGGATGGTGACAGTACAATGGAATTTCTAGCCCGGCCGATCCCAGCAGTTGGTTCTTGACGTGGGACCCCAAAGGACTTCGGCCATGTTCAACTCAAACGCACGACGAATCTCTCACCTCTCAAGTGCGCCGAACTAGTAACTAGTGCTGCTGGAGCGGCGAGTGCCGCTGGTGAGCAATGTTGACCGAGGAGTCCAGGGGATCGCGGAAAAGCTGCCGGCGGATGGAACGCCCGGGGGGGTCGGAGTCCAGCCATCAACTCAGGTCTCCAAGCCAAGGTGGCTCTTGTTTTGGACTTATACAATGGTTTCAGAGTAGATGGCACAATCCCCAAGAGGTGGTTTAGAAGGACCTCCATATCAAAGACATTTTTGGGTGCCAGTGCCATTTCTCACCTCTGATGGCCCACTGGACTTCATTTCTGAATGGGAACCGGCTTTGACATGGGGACTTCTCCAACTATCAAGAATTGAGTGAGGAAGGCATGACGGGGAAGCTGGCCAAGCCGGCCAGTGAGCGACATGAGCAACATGAGCTCCGAACCGCTGCGACTCCGACCGATAGCAACAGTGGCAAGCGAGGTTTGTTCACAGTGTACGAGTGGCTGGAATAGAAGGGCACAATGCAAGCTTTTCCCTTGACGGAAGGGGTTCATCGTCTCGTTCCTGTGTGTCTTCCCATAGGCTCGGACGTGTTCGGACATACCCTAGTTATAGTTATATCTATTTCCCCCAGGATGCGGTCCACCATTGATTTGATGGGATTGACTGCAGAACCATGGGTATTTTTTTGGATTTGAGACTGCCAGGTTCAACCGAACCTCTTTTGGCCGGGTCGGGTCGGTTTTGTTGGCCACCACCTCGAATCGGTTTCGTCCCTCCAGGTGGACCTGCCTCTCTTGATGCAGGCGGGGCAACGTTGAGTGTCGGGTGAGACCCCCGGGATGGAAGACCGTCTCCCTCCGCCAAAGAGGAGCCGCGGAGATGAAAGACGCGCTTACAATGAAGTCCAGCAGATTCACCCAACCATACCGGGAGGAGTGCCTTAAGTAGAGTGTCTTTAGCTTTTAAGACACTTCAAGACTGGAAGCGCATGTTACAGTGTAACAGCCCACTCAGGAGGTTCAACAAGGCGGCTGCGGATTTCCGGAAGAGAGATGAAGAGGAATTCCCAATTCGTGGCTCCGCCCCAAAACGGAGTGATGGATGCGAGTCACCACAAGGACTCACAGGGTTTTTTGGAGCTTTCAGGTTTAGGTGTGTGTTTTGCAACGGTGGCAGCCCATTGCTCGCCGTGGCTGATTTTCTCTTTGTAGTTTCTGGGTGGCTTCGGTCAAAGCACGTGCCCTGCCCCGACAGCCCTGGTGGTGCCAGAGGCTCCGTGGCATTTGGACTATGGAAACCCCGTGGGCACTGCCAGCAGCACCCTGTTGCAGTGCTATGAGGACCACCAGCGATCGCCCGGTTTTGAACCACGTGCCGCCGGGCCCGGTCAGGGACTCAGGCGGGCCACGTGACGAACGTGGTAGAAGAACTCTGATTTTTCCCCTGCTCGGTGGGACACCCGTGATTTTGCTGGCAAGAAGTTCTTCAATGTGCATTGTGGGACACGGATGGGCACGGTCCAACCGTTACTAACCCCTTTGTTTGGTTTGGTTTGCGGGTGTGTTGTTGGTGGCTGCTATTTGCTGGGAGCCCTGCTCCTTCGTAGCTTTCATCAGCTGCTTGAAATTGTTTGAAGGATGCCCTTCGTCGCGAGAAGACCGGGATGCCACAGAGAGTTGAAGACTCAGACAGGGAGAAAAGGGATGTCCAAGCCAGTGCTTATAAGGTAGCTCAGGTAGCACGGTTTTCCAGAAAGATGCTTAGATGAACCATAAGTTAAGCAGTTGATGCGTTCACACCTCACGGGCCTCACAGGAGCGAGAGATGCTCGCGGTTGCTTGGTCGGTGGTGTAGCCACCTCCAATCAAGTTGGCACGTTTAAATGCGTTATATAAAGTGGTCGAAACTGTAATTCTACCGACCCACCCGGAAACGAGAGGCACAGGTGATTATACACCAGGATCCCACCTAAACCACTCGCCCATGATTCTCGATCGGGATGGAGCACCCATTTGAGGCACCCATCGCAAAGCCCATGAGCCCTTGGCATACAGTGCCTCAGTGGCGCAGGCGGGCACTTGAACCGATGGGGAAGAGAACGGCTCAGGCAAAACCCATCTCAATTGCCACTTGGTGTTCCGGAGATTGAAACACCAACACTTCCCAAACACTCCATGTATGGAATATATGTATACATATACTACATTGACCCCTTTTCATCAACTCCAATATAGTCATTTAGGTAATTACAACATGGTACAACTAACTACAGTAGTTACTGTATAATTATATAGTACACTTTTAGTATATAATACGTGCCGCCAGTCCCAAAGAGTGTTTTGCCTTTACGTGGCCGTTGAGGCATCACTCTCATTCTCACCCAGAACCTGTTGAGAGTTGAGAGGGTGGGATTTGTTGAACGGGTGTCAGACCACGAAGAACTCCTTTCACCTACAAAGCCATGAGGTCGTTCCGCTCAGGTTGCAACCGGAGCTCAGAAGGATTGACGTGGCTCTTGGGGGGGCTCCAGCACACCAATCACATGAATTAACATGGTTTGGTTCAAGATGGTTAACGAGGAAACTCCTTCCCCCCCAAAGGGGGGTTCCAATCCACTTCTTCAAGTCCTGCCCATTTTATGCATGTTGGGTGGCCTCTTGAGTTCAGTCAGTGGTCATTTCGGCCACTTGCGCGGCTTGGAAGGTAGACCGTCGGCCATCAGATGATGTGGCCGATTGAATTTATAGACAAGGACTCCTGTGATGTTAATATGCTTTGGGAATGCAGGTGGTTCTTTTCTATTTGGTGGATCACCATGCAGCTGTTGTTTGACGTGCAGGCCGAGCTTCCTAGCGGATGAGGCCAGGTTCGCGGCAGCCATTAACAGTTCCAAACGCTCCATAATGAATGTTCAGAATTTTCTACTGCATGAACCATCCCAATAGATCAGTTAAATATGCCATACCTTGAGTGTTTGGCTATGAAACGTGCGCTTCGCCATGGGGTTCCCCCCCCCCACGGACTCGCCAGTCCGGAGTTCACAGTTCCAGGATTTCTGGGCGAGCTCGTCCAGGATCGGTGTGGAGCGAGTGGAACCACCGTCAGCGCAGCTGGCCACCGTCAGTGATCTGGAGCGACTGCAAGAAAAGTCTCTTGGCCGGGCGGAGTGCTCGACTCCAAAGAATAAGGAAGGATTGGGCACTGGGTCGGTCCGCTGATGTTCCCAGATGCACTGCACATGGCGCCAGGTCCGCTGATTCTTGGTTCCCTTTTCGTCACATCCGGTGTGTTTGGCTCGGGCTAGGGGAATTTCGTCAGTGTTTGTACGGCGCAGATTGCGCAATTGACCGGGGATGTCGCATGGGCAAGAAGTGGTAGAAGCCTTCAAAAAGTTCGACAAGGATGGGAATGGCACGATCAGCCGAGAAGAGCTGGGCGCAGTCTTGAAGGCTTTGGATGCAGAAGCTTTGTTGTGATGGCAAAACCCTTGTTGTGACGGCCCTTACTCTAACTGTAGGGCTGTAGGGCAAGCAAGTCCGAGAAAATATGCACCCAAAGAACATCAAAGAACCATTATATAGTAGAGAGTCATTAGTCATTAGACCCCAAGACCAGAGGTTCTAAGTTCACAGTCTTGCTGCTGGAGCTTCTACGCAGTAAGGAAGCATGGGACGATCCATCCATCGACCGTTTGTTGGCTATGGCAGACACCAGCGGAGATGGCGTTTTGTGGTTTGAGGAGTTTGTTCGGTGGATGCTTGCAGACGATGTGGGAGGCAAGGCTCAAGTGAGCCTTGGCGACGGAACCCTGGGCTATGCTCAGCTTCTGAGCGTAGCAGACCGAGCCACGTGTAGGACCATTCAGGGTTCACGATCAGTCCACATCGTGCTGTGATGCTGCTCATACACCCGAGAAATTGGAAATCCTTGATCAATAGTTCAGCATCATGACGTGACGTGTTCAGATCAAAGCGGGTTCCGTGTTTTAACTTACAGTATATAAATCTCCTGCCGCTCTCGTCTCTCACGATTTCAAGAACGAAGACTTACCGAGGCCCAGGCCACCCTTCATTCCAGCAGCATGCCAATCATGCTCGCCACGACCTCTCCCGCAAAGAGACCCAGTTCCCACACCTGGCCGGTTTGGTGGGGTAGTCTTGGGAGAAACTGGCAGCAAAAGCCTAAACGGTACACTGCACTCCCTGAAATGGTGGAAGTGGAAAATAGGCTCGAGACTCGACCTGTTGGATGACCATGTTTCGCTACAAGCAGGTGGTTTCCACTTCCATTTGAATGACTCGGAGATAGAATCCTTCATGCCTGCAATCCGTGGGAGATGTAGCGGCAGCGCGTGTGAACAGAGGCAACATAACTTTTGACTGTAGTTGTTTTGGACTTGACACGAGCACCCCTGCCAGCTGGGTGGGCAAAGCACTTGCGCAAGCAAGCAACACTGCAGTGCCCCGTACAGCAAACAGGCCTTTGTCACATGTGAGCATGCCCTCGGATTGGTGAACTACTACTGTACCTCAACCCTTTTTTTGGGGGGAGGGTAGCTTCAAATCACTGCCGATTGCTCAATGATGTCGAAACATTGACTGTTAGGAAGGGCAACTTCACCTTTGTGGTTGCTGGATGCTCCCGAGAAGAGTTGAATGGTGAGTATGTGCAACAGGAGAAGTTCTATGGGCGTCGGCCAGTCTTCTACTGCGCTGAGAACAAACGGGTGTTGTTCTACCAAAAGCGGAGACAAAGTTGGCAGTGCCTAGCCTAAATCTGTTGGACCCTTTTTTAAAGCAACGAGGTGATCGACCAGATGAAACCGGTTGATGTCGGGATTGTTTGCAGTTGATTTGGCCTACTGAGCCTACTTGTCATCCAAAGCAAGGATCTATTGGACACCGGGCAAGAAAGCCAGTGCTTTGGTGAAGACCGCAAGGGCACCACACATGCTTCTGGAAGGCCAGTGCTGGAGTGTTTGGACGCCAAGATTTGCAAGAGGCTTTGTTGATCTTTGTTGTGTTTGTTCCCCTGAACTGGCGACGGGTACCAGTTGGAAACTCGTATCCGATGTTTGCGGTATTCAGGGGTACGAGTCCACAAGCAAACTGTACTGTGCTTGAGGCGCCTTCGTATATCTTCGTGTCATGAAGAACGTTGGAAACGGGCCGAGTTCGACACGTCCTCCATTCGGCGTTCTTCGACGCAGAATCGCCCACGCCCAGGACCGAGGGCGCTTTTTGTGACATACCCACCATGAAGTGCTCCATTGCCCCGGAGCTGAGCCCGGAGGAAAGGCAAAAGCAAGCGCCTGAGGTGCTCTTCTTTGACTCACCGAACATGTTTTGCCACTGAGCTGGGCGGGGTACTGCTGTTGGATACCAATGAAGGGGATCTCTTTCAGGAGCGTCCATGATCCGAAACACATGGGACTGGCATACCATTGCCATTATAATCCATTATACATTTGAGGTGGTTCCTGGGGTTCGGGGGTCAAAGTCAGCACGTATCAAAGATGAGGTGATGGGAGGATCAACCGTAGCTCTATTACGATTCTTTTTTGAGGTTGAAAGGGAGAACTGTCCAGAAACCTCATCGAAGGAGAAAGACGCATGTCTGGGTGAGCCGTGCTCATCCCATGGTGACGAAAGAGGCGGTGCGATTCCGGGATGATCTGTATCTATCTATCTATCTGTCTATCTGTGTATATTAATTATATACATTGAATGAGGTGCACGACATTGTGGAAAGGATCAACCAAGCCCGAAAGGATGGCGTTCGAAGAACGCATCCCAGGTGTCATGAAGAAGCACGAGAAGATTTGGCAAGGACGGAACATGTATGTCACAGACGACCAGACCTGCTTTTCCGTCTATATTGACGGCCAAGACGGCTTCTATGGCTGGGCCTTCTTCCACGCCAAAGACGCGCAGAGGAAAAACGCCGGCTACAAGTCGTGCCCAACGAAGTGCTATTCACCACACCAGTGCCCTGGATGGGTCCTGTTTGAAGTTAGTTTCTGCAACTTCTCGTCATTGATGTCTTTTCTTTTTGTTCCGGGGTGGTGATAAAAACAATGCATTTTGTAGAGGGGAACTCTCCGTTTCATTCTGAACCTTCCAATTCTCTTCTGAACTCTCCAGCATGATTTGCCAGGTGCTTGTGGACGGGCGGGGTTTCAGTGTGCGCCGAGCCAAGAGAAGTGGTGAAAGTGAATGTCGTCACTCATGAGCTGGGTGAAGCTTGGACCCAGTGAGGCCCTTGTTCACATCCCTGCATAGGTCGAATAAGGGCACCGGCGGCTCAAGTCTCAAGTTGTAGGATGTAGGTTTGTGAACCAGGGTTTCCAGGGTTTTTGAGTCTTTGTGATCAACCCTTGGAGCCAAATTTCCAAGGACGATGTTGGGATCCACTGGGTACTGTAAGAATTTGCTTCAAAAAATGTTGTTGCGCTTTGAGCTAGGAGTTTTGGGGGTGCACTTTACATACACTTTTTACATCTGTTTACATGTTTTACAACTTGCTTAAATGTATACCGTATGTATACAGTCTGTTACTAAACGGTATTGTTTGTTCTTTTCTAGACTGGGTCGAATGAAGCAACCATGGAAACTGCTGGGCGAGTGATTGGGAATTTCACCCCTACGTTCGACTTCCAAAGACCGGGGTAGATCGATTCGATCGATTTGGGTGCGGGAGGCGGTTGTGGATGACACTCCTAGCTTCAGTGAGGTTGAACCGTGGGTGGATCCAGACTTTCCTCCTTCAGAAGCCAGTTTCGGAGAGACCTTTTTCCGTGAGAAGGCGGAGAAGTTCGGAGGGAGCGATAAGATTGTGCCTTGGGATGAACGACTCATGGAAGGCAGTTTTTATTCGTTTTGACCGATGGATTGCATCCCGTGCGGTCCGCTCCGTCGCGAAACCGGTCCTTACTACCGGTCCAAACCGTGCTGGTCGATGTCCACCGTTTGGAACGACGTTCGTTCTGGCCGCCAGGTTTGGACCAGGCTGTCGGAGCTCACAGAGAAGCCGCAACTCTTTGATGAGGATCCCTTTGATATCAATCAAGGTGGGATTGGGAATTGTTGGTTCATCTCCGCCCTGGCAGCCTTGGGGGAGTACCCTTCGCACTTGAGAGATCGGATCTTCAAGACGAAGGACATCACTCCCAATGGGTGCTACGAGATTTGCTTGTTTGAGTTCGCCGAGCGGGCCTGGAAGGTCTTTGAGGTGGATGACCTGGTGCCATGCTACAAATCCACCAGCTCCTCAGCATAAGGAGAGGGTCACTGAAGAGAGACTTCTTCCACTGGGATCCCACCTGGCATTCCTGAGATTTCCTGAGAAGGTATACCTGGAGCGTCCTGGAACGCGACTCTCCCCATCACCGACCCAAACGCACCGAAAACCTGCCCGAAGTTCGATGCACTGAGGCCCTCATCATGCGGACTCGCCCCTCTTTTGCCGCGCTCGGTCCCTTTGGGCGCCGCTCTTGGAGAAGGTCTTCGCCAAGTATTGCGGGGCCTATGAAATGTTGCAGGGAGGCGGAAAAGCGCACAACACCAAGCTCGATCCGGTACAGGTGCGAACAACTCGTCATGTTAAGCTCCAAAGAACCGTACAGTTGTGCATATGGGACGTTGTTTCATTGATCAGGTTTGGTCAGACTGTATGCCCCATATGGTGCGAACAGCGTTTGAAAAGCAACCCGCACCGATACTCTGAGACCGATACACATGATACACCGATCGCCCAGTTTCTGCAAAACATTAAGGTACAGTGTTCTGTTCTTGGTCGGTGGTGTGTTGCCACATCCTAAACGGTCAACCCCCCGTTTCTGCTCTTTTTCTTGGCGGGGGGGCATGCTTGTTGAACCTGCAGGTTTGACCCAGCCATCCAAAATGCCCCTGGCGGTTCCCGCCCCATGTGCTCCCAGGTTTGCAGTAGGATGCTGTAGGTCTTGATCACGCGAGACAGGCTCCTCCCCTCACGTATAGGGCCATAGGAGCCTGTTGCTCCAGCTAAGAACGAAGGGCCGGCATCCATGAAATTTGGGTTGCACATAGCGTTGAACTTGCCCGATATTGCGAAGCATGCTAAGCGCAGTTGGCGAATGACTCGGGCATGTTGCTGGACCGAATTAGTGCTACATCGCCTCGTCTTGAGATGACGGACCCCACCCAAATCCCCCAAAGCTCCAACTGTTTGGAGCAAAGGCATTTGCCCTAAGGAAGCTTAAACAAGGCGCACAAATGCAGAAGATGCGGACGTGAACGTGTTTCTCAAGCGTGCGGATGCTGACTACAACCCGGTGCTAGAAAATCCCCAGCTAATTGTATGGCCTTCCCCATCCACCCACCACCTGGTCCATGTCACTGTGCAGCGGCACAACGGTGTATCGGCGTATCATCACCCGCGCCTTGTCCAGGTCACCTTGTAGCGGCATAGCGGCGTTTTTTCGCCTGTGCCTTGTTCAGGTACCCTATCGCGGAGTAGCAGCGTATGGGCGGAAGTCGCTTTGAAGAACTCGTCTTTATGCACGCTGCATCACGCTGCCATATTTTGCAATGGGTTCGTTTGGGTGGTGATCTCGGAATGCATGTGTAGACAAGTGACAAGATACAGACAAGAGTGCTAGGGAGAAGCCAGTCCAAACGCACCTAGCTCAACCCGTTGGGCCCCCCTAGCATTCCAGCATTCCTTTGTTCTGTTCCGTTTTCGCCGGTGTTCCTCGCCAGGTCTTGTGCATGCTCACGGGCGGCGCTGAGGTGAAGCACTTCCGCCAATCAGTAACGCTTTCGAATTTGTGGGTCACGCAGGTGGAACGAGATGTCACCATTGGCCAGGAACCCACGAGCGAGCTCTTTGGAGTGGAACTTTAGTATATTTTATTTGTTTTTTTTTTGTGAATCACACTGTTTGATTCAGTGCCATTTGTTTACAACTATAATCGATGTGTACTACCAGATGTTCATGTTTAATCGATTCTAATTTGGATGTGTGTTTGTGTTGTTAGATCCCACAAAGATTGATACATTATGGAACCAAACCTAATATATATATATACACCCCTTTGGTGAGGCCTTCACATAGAACCCCCAAATTGAGTCATCGTATGGGTATGTTTGGTATGCAGCTTTTGCCTAAACTGTGATTGCGCAAAGACAGAGTGGAGAAGATAATAAGATCCCTTGCATTTTTAGGCTTCACATTTGCAATGCCCATTATAGAAACACTTACAAATTCTTACCGACCCCAGGTGCTAAGCCAGGGAATCCCAAGGTCATACCTGGGTTCTAAGTGTGGAGTTTTGAGTTAGAAAAGCTTTTAGAAAAGCTTTTTGAGCTTATATATATATATACACGGTATGTTTGTTCTACGTGCAATATACATTATGTTTGTCGGTATAAGCTATCCTAGAGAAGTGCGTGTGTTGATGTCGAACCTTTTGTGTGTTTGAAAGTGGCATGACATTATAGTCTATAAGGAATTCTGCTTTTATATTATATATAGATACCCCGCCAGAACCTAAAAGGTTCAGGAAATGATTTGCTTTAGGGATAGCTACTGTAAGTCAAGAACAATTATATAAGGGGGGGGTCAAGGTATCCTATAACACGTTTTGTGATAGCCCTTCACCGCGATTTTATGGAGGCCCAGGATTACTGTGTGCGTTTTGTTACATGACTACATGTCATATTGAATTGCACTCAAGCCCTTTGCTCGCTCATTTCTTGTGGCCTCAACATTTTCAAAGGCAATCCTATAGGCCACTAGGACTGTTTGTTTGGGATGTGCTTTGATGCGGATAAGAGTCATGTGCGGATTCTGATGTGGTGATCTATGAGACAGCTTGACTTTCAATGGCTGTCTTGAATAGAAAACTCTTAGTTTCGGAACTTTCTCCCTCCTGGCAACTTTAGAGAGCCTTGCTTTTCTACACTTTTCCCTATTTTTTCCCTTGACATGACATCTCTATTGGCCTCACATGTTCTTGAAGTTTGTGCCGGTGCTCTCTGTTTTATGATGTTATCTCTGCGCACTTGATCACACTTGCACATATATTTGATCACACGGACCCTTTCAGTTGCCCCCATGGCCTCAACGCCACGGTGATGCCTGGACGGACACCTGGATTTGTTTTGCCTCAGCGTTTGCCGGCTGCATCAATCTGATACATGCATTTGTTCAGTCAGTCGGTGGGTCGTCGGTCAGTCAGTCGGTCAGTCAGTCGTTCCCCAACCTTCTAGAAGGGGCAATCATTTCAGACGATTCCATTGTCATCAAATTTCATGTTGACACCACCAGTTGCACCCCCGCACAAGAACTGCCTTCGCCGTAAAGAATCTATAATTAGCAAAATTATCACACCACCGGATTGGGAGCAAACTTTGACGTGTTGCGGCTTGCTTTTCCTTGGATGTCATGCTTTTACCCCCATTTCGGGGGTTCTGTCTCGTGTTTGGGGTTCTACCCAGCTTTGGGTGGATGGCTCCAAGGAAGAAAGGGAAGCTGTTTGCCTGGGCTTCCATCTATGAGGAGGAGACGGTCGGAAAGCGGATGAGATACAGGGTAAGAGATGATATGGTGAAGAACGAAAAGTTCCCTGCTTGATTTGATACATGGATGCTTTTGAACAGTGCCCCAATTTTTGAACTGATGGTGGCAATTTTTGGGGACAGCAAGAGCAGCATGTTATGTTTGAAAGTGCATTTTGGTCAGTCTGGATGACTTGTTTTGCACGAACTGGTGCTGTTAGATTGAAGCCTTGGAACCGTTTTGACACGGCTCGCCACTGTAGGTTCCAGCAGGGCACTGAGGAGGGTTGGATCACCACCCATGTACGAGGCATCAGAAGGCTTGCACTCAGCGTTGCGGCTGGCTGGACCTACACACACAAAACAGTCAGTCCACATCACAAAGACTGGCGGGATGCCTCAGCGACATATGCCACACAGCATGAAAGGATTGAAGGGATTGAGAAGCCGGAGGTGTTGTGGAAGAAGTTGATGGAGATTGACGAGGCCTCGGGCATCACGACCGGGTGGTTCCACAAAGATACTGGTATGGGGTTGGTCAACAACCACCAATACACCATTGTGCAGTGCAAGGAGGTGGGAGACTTCAAGCTGGTTTGTGTCCGGAACCCTTGGGGCCATGACGAATGGACGGGCGCCTGGGCGGATGACAGTGAGGAGTGGGAGGCCTTTCCCGAGGTGGCTCAGGCACTGAAGTTGGAGGAAAAGGATGATGGTCTATTCTGGAAGCTCGGAGATTCACAGATGACAGGAGATTGAACAATTGCTAATCAGATATCATAGTTTATATACTTACTTACATGATCTTACAATTAATATACAATATCATACAATATCCCAATTAACCCACATCCTTGCAGCCCATGGCTCCCATCCACCAGGGGGACCCTCCAACTGTGGGCACCTCCCCCGCCACTGTTCGTTTTCAGTGGTCAAGGGGGGTGCCCTGCAGGGTTTGGGCCCACGGTAGATGGTTGGTTCCACAAAGTCACTATATTGTCGTCACGCGGTTCAGACTCCAGGCCGAAGTCAGCCTTTGGGTCCAAACTCTTCGCCCCCTAGGACACCAGATCGATTTGAACATGCTGGAAGTGCCCCGAACCAACTGGTGGTTTTATTCAAGTGCGGAATCGAAGCCTAGAATATAAACACACTCTGACGTTCCCATGACGTGGCCATCTCACCATCAAAGGATCCTTGAGCACTGCCCGTGAAGACATTTCGACCGCGCAGCGATGTTCCGTGTCTTTCGCTTTGCTTGCGTTGTTTATTGAAGATTCCAGTTGGCTCCGCTGGTTTTACAGTGGTAGCGGAGCCGGAGATGACCTCCTGGCTCCCTGCCAGCTGTTCTGGTTCGTTGGGTTGGATGGATCCCCTTCAAGCATTGGATCCATGGCAACAATACACAGGACCTGGACCACCCTCAGGGTGTGGGCATCATACAAATGTAGCTGCCGCGGACCTTCGAATCGTTCGACACCTTGTGCTTCAGGAAACCTGTATCTCTCCAACAGCCCAGCAACTGCTGGCAGGCTTGCGGCGCACTCTGCACCGTCAGGTGACGCCTCGGTCCGAGGTTTTGCTGGAACATCCGTGCAGGGTGCTGGGATGGGTCAGGCATTTTCCGGCCTCAATTTTTGGTCAAGCCTTTCCCCCTTCTGTGGGAATGCTGGGAACTGGTTTGGGAATGAGTTCAATGATGGGGAACCCACATTCACAATTTATGCATGCAACAAGTCCCCAACTGGTACAAGGACAGAGTTTTGCTGGGAATTTCATGCGGCCGCCGCCAGGACTTGGTTCGTGTTCAGGTGTTCCATTGAACGCCACGCAAATGATGGAGCAGCTGAACGCTACTCCCCAAGCTGGAGCACAGCCGTCGATCAAGAGTGCTTTCAAACTGTTAGGCCGCACCTTTTCTCCAACACCACATCCAGCCCAGAAAAACTAAGAAGCCGATGATGCAGCCAGGGACAGGTGCACAAGCAGCGATGATGGCATGCGCCGTGAGGCTTGGCACCCAGATGGAGTCTGAGAGCAGTGACGGCATCGCACCACCTTTTTTTGCTTACCTGCTCACTCCAAGCGCCACTGAGCTTGGACGAAGTGGTTTTGATGGAGAGCCAAGGATCCTAGACCGAGAGCACAGAAGCTTTTTGTCAATGGGGCTTCGCAACTTCCTTGATCAAGTTGGAGAAGTGTACTCGTCACCTCAAGTCGGATGGAACTTTCCCTGAGAATCCGATTTGATTGCAACCAAGATTTGAAAAGTGATATTGCTTTCAAGGTTTTGTTCAATATAGAATATTGAAATCAGAGGCGGGAAAATCAAGATTTTTCTATTGATTTCAAGGGTCATGTTTGAACACAAAAAAGCAGGAAACAAAATCAAGATCAACATCAATATGTTCATAGCCACTTCCTGCCCCAGCCATGGGGTGAAACTGTTGCTTTGGGTGCTTTTCCCAGCTCTTCTTGCCTTTTGCAAGGGCATGCATGCGCAAGCAAGTTCCCTTTGTCAAGGGCAAGCTTTTTCAAGCAATCCTTTCACAAGGGAAAGCTTTTGTAAGCTGGATTGCTGCTGGAAAGGGCAAGCTTTTACAAGCAAGCTTTTGCAAGCCAATGCGCCTGGCACTGGATATAGCATGCACACATCCTTTCTCAATCTTTCTCAAGGATATTCCCTTTCCTAGGGGCTGTGGCATAGCAATGCCCTTTTGCAAGGCTTCACCAGGAGAACCAGAAACGCCACCGTTGGGATTCAACTTGCAGCCGTCAAACACCATACCCAATGACTGGCGCCACCCCTCCATTGCCTGTGCCGTGAGGGAACTCCACGTTCCTGGAAATGATCAACTTCGACCAAGACGAAGACATGGCTAGAATGGGAGTCCTTGAAACCATTCATTGGAGTGAAATGGAAGTATGTCTGTGAACAGGGCAGGTTTCTCCCACAACCTCGATTGAACTCTCGGGGAACCTTCGCAGCCTCTCAAGCCGAAGCAAGCTTTTGCCCAAGAGACCAGCTCTTCTACTTGATCAAAGCAAAATCCTCATTTGGCCAAGTGGAGTTTGCACGCCTTTCAGAACCCGAAAAGGTGACATTCAGCGACAGGCTGGTCAACAATGGTGCTGTCAAAGGTTTTGTCTGGGAAGAGAGCCTGGCCTTCGAAGAGCACCTTCGTGTTCTAGCCAAAGGAGATTTCCAAAGGCGAGTTGGAACACTACAAGAAGCTTGCCATTGGGCAAGGCCACTATGAGGTCTGCCAGTTGGAAAATGACCAGTCCAATCCCAAGTCGAGATTGTGCGTCGTCGGGCCGTCGGCTGGCAGGATCCTCAGATTCATGAAGTTGAAAGAAGTGCACCAACGCCACTGAGCACCTCACTCCACAACTGCCTGCAGCTGGCCGCTGCAAGAAAGTGGACCTGTCGGGTGAGAGAGGTGAAGACGGCATTTCTCCAAGCCTTGCCGCCCACAAGAAAGACGAAGATTGCAGTCCGCCAGTAAAGATGAGCCACTGCCTGGTTTAGACCCAAGACAGCTTCTGTTGCTCATGACAGAGGTCTACGGACTTGTAAGTGGGCCATCATGGTGGAGGAGAGCCTTTGTGAAGCTAGCCGCTGAAACTCTTGGCTATAACCTCAACGTCGACGACAAGTGTTGTATATGGTCCTGAGCGACAAGTCGGAGACTGCGTTGAGTCAAGGTTTCATGATTCTCACTGTCGATGACGTTGCAGAAGGTGGCTCAGAGGTTCACATGCAGCGAATGAAACAGCTGGAAGGATACACTTTTGGCAAAATCAGTGAGCTGCAAACTCCAGAGGGATCCACCTATACGCTGGCAGGCATCTTCGCCAGATGGAAGATTGTAGTTTCCAGAGTCACATAGACGAGTTCATTTACACCCGGCTGGAAACCATCAAGCTTGGAAGGAAGGTTTCGAAAAAGGACGCTGATTGATTGCATCGCTCGACTGGGTGGCCCGAGAGGGTCGCCCAGATGCCTCGGCAGGCGCTTCAATTTTGGCGTCCACCTTTCCAGAACCTTCAGTAGCTGACATCCTGGCAGCCAATGACCTTGTGGTTCATTTGAAAACGTTCCCTGTGCGCCTTCACATCCACGCCATTGCCGAGAGTCGCTTGAGAAATGTGCTAATTGCAGATTCGGCATTTGAGACGTCGGGGAGAGAGCGCTCCCAGCATGGCTGGTTGCTAGGCTTTGCCTGTGTCGCTCACGCAGTGGAAATCAAAGAGGTTGAGACGCAAAGCTGCTTCGAGTTTACTCTGTCATTGTCCACAGCCTCAGCGGCGTTGGAAAGACAAGATGCCTTTTTCCAAAGCAGAAGGTTTGCTCACTTCCACCCTTGCAGCAGACAGAAGCTGGAGGACGAGGAGCTTGCCATGGCAGGCAAGGCGACGGTTGTTCTTGCCGAATAGATTCGTTGACCCTGGAAGCATCCTCGTGGTTGATGCAAACCCTTGTATAATGCAATGAACACAGAACAGAGCCATGGAAGCGATGACAGAGTTGCTTTGGAATTTGCCATCATCCGCAAGTCAGTGACTGTTGTTCGTGGCAGAGTTTGACACACAATTCTGGTGCACATGTGGAGCCGATGTTGAAACTCCTTCGAACTGGAAGGTACTCCATCCAGGAAGAGGACGAGGTGTTGGATTAGGGAAAGCAATCCCGGAACAGACGGAAAGTCTCGGCACGTCATGGGAACTTTAGCTTTTGGGGGCTGTGGAATCGAAGCCTAGAATATAAACACACTCTGACGTTCCCATGACGTGGCCATCTCACCATCAAAGGATCCTTGAGCACTGCCCGTGAAGATGTTTCGACCGCGCAGCGATGTTCGGTGTCTTTCGCTTTGCTGGTGCTTGTGTTGTCTGTTGAAGATTCAAGTTGACCCCGCTGGTTTTACAGAAGTTTTGCGCTATCGAGCTCGGGGGGTCTCCCTATTTAGTGCCACAATCATGGAGTGGATTGGGGGTAGATGGATGTAGATGGCACCATCCCTAATGTTTGTGGTCAAAAATGTCAAAATACAAATTCCAATTTGTCCACAACAATATTCTAGCGCCCGTCAAACATGTTCTGCCACATCATCCCTCTACTACACAGATCTCGGCTGCATGCGTGCCTGCTGCGCGTGTTGGCACCGACCAACCAAGCTCAGGATGGAGTTTGAGGACTTCTACGCCCGAGCGGAGGAGATTTGTGCCTGTGTGCCTCCCAAAGGGACCATGGCACGTGGGTGAAGAACATGGTGAATTTTTCCGAGGCAGTTGGGTTTTGGCTGTGTCTCACGGAGGAAACACCCTCCCCAAAATCGTTGCTTCCTCCCCAAGACGGCGGAGGGGCGGCCAAAGTCGCCAAAGGTGAGATGTTGCAAAACGTGCCTGCGGTCAGACATGCTCAGATTATGCACTTGAAACCACTGAGCCACATGAAACCACTGAGCTAAGGCAAGATCAGTTACTGTCAGAGCTCTTGGAGGTGAAGTCCCTTTTAGCTCACCGCGATGCTGAAATGGAGGCCGCGTGCTGGAGGGTTGGTGTCCAAAAAGGCCTGTAAAACACTGCGAGTGTTACTCAACACCTGTCCCCCGCACCAAATCCCATGCTTGAGGGTCGCAGCCGCTACGCAAGACCTCCAGGTTGGTCTTAGGAGTCTTACGCGCTCTGATTTCGTAGAACTCTTAAGCAGATAGATGTGGTGGTGCAAAAGTTATCCTTTTAGGGGGGACTTGGTGATGCTGGTGATGCCAGTTCTTGGGATGCTCTGTGATGGTTGATTGGATGGACGAATGGGTATGAGGATTGTCGGATTGGATCTAGGGTAGTGGTGCCGCGTGACCTTGGATTGGATGGGCTCAACACCATTTCTGAAGTTGATAATAATGTTTGTTTTTTCCATCGGCGCTCTGTGCAGCTACAGATCCACCATCAACAACCTTTACCTCGTTAACCTGAGCGTCCCCTAATCTACATATCAGATCCCTGTCCTACCGATATTTGTTCAATGTTTGCTCCGCCACCTGCTGGCATTCGTCGTTTGGGCCGTTTGGTGTCTCAAAATCCGGTGGCTTGTGCATACCCAACGGCAGAGCTGGTGGGCGGAAGTTTTAGTCAACAGTATTCAAACATGAACAGTGGGAGTGCTATGAAATGAGAGTTGTGATGACCTGTCAGGTGATGGTTCGTGAAATGTGACGTGGTGAAAATCCTACTACTTTTTGCCGTTGAGTTGTATTATAATTAATTAAGTAGAACTGATTGCGCCTTGGACACCTTATAGAGCCCTTTGATTTTCCGTTTGTATTGATTTTGACTGCCCAATCTGTGAACCCGCCACCAACCTTTTGCAGCCGGTCCCTCACTGGCAGCCCAGTGTCAATAGGCTGGTGGATGTTCTCTGAACATGTGGCAAGCTGCAACACTGCTTTGGTTTACAGTGCTTGAGAGAGTGCGCAAGTGTACGATTTGTTTGTCGTGGAAGAAGAGACCCCATGCAACCCCAATAGCGCCCTTAATAAGAAGCACTTCGAAGAGAGAAGCCAGTCAACGACTCAATCTGTTTGTTTTTTCGAGCCCAGGGATCTTCGAGCCCTTCCAGTCATTGCAGGCGTTGCGGCATGAGGTGGGTGCATGGTTCAGGCGCTCCAACGGCACTGACTGGCGCACACTGTGGGGGGCTGCCGAGCAGCTGCCGACGCCCTTCGGGGTCGAAAGGGCGGGGGACGAACGAGTTTGGTGCGAAAAGATGGGATTGGTTCAAGCCAGGCAAAGTTTCAAAGCAATAACCCTGGGTTTATGACTCACTGAGCTGTCAATGGAGCCCACGCAGTTTTATAGTTCAAAGTTGCTACAACATTTTTGAGATTTTTGGCTGTACAGACTGTCACCCAATTTGCGAGGTTCTCCCGTTCTGAACAGCCCGGGGAACATCTATCATGGGACAGGTCCCAGTCATCATGCGTAATAAGATGTAATCAGCACTGCTGCTAGGAGTATGGTGTTCACCAATGTTCACAGCCAAGGTCCACAGTCTCGGCGGGCTACCGCTCTGAGCTGCAGACACCCACGTTGCAGGCGGAGGGAGGGGACGGATCCTGAGGGCCAGATCAGGGAGGCAAGCGGGACATGAATGACCACCACATGGTTCAACCCACTTGACCCAGCCAAAATCTACACAACCTCGCAACCACAACTAGTAGCTAGCCATCCACAGTGGACCTATGAAAAAGCATCACTCCGGCGGCCCATGGGGCGGCCCATGCCACCATTCAATCACAGATGTACTCTTGAGATCTTAAATCTGAATTGAAAGCAGACAGACGTACGGATTTCCTTCTTATTGAAGGCCAAACCAATGGCAACGTTCGGAAGGGCAGAAGAACTGGCGTGAAAAAAGCGGCGGAGACGGGAAGATGGAATGCGTTTAGACTTAGAGATCAAAGGCGGGCAGGATGCAACTCCCTCAAAGTCTGTCTTGTAGCCGAACAGACATATATATATATTAATTTGTTATTGAAATTTAAAGATTATGCATTAGCTGTTTTTTCCGGTCCCTTCTGTTTTGTTTAAGCCGCCCCTTCTCCAACGCACTTTGAAGATGAAGCGTGAAAGAGACATGAAGAGATCGCGGGATGATAAAAGAGCTGAGATTTGTGAGGACATCTTGCGATGGCCTCCAACCTACAGTACTTGCAGTGGCTAGCAATGGACCCTTCTTTTGCGTTCTAACCTGGACCATGTTAGGAGGCCCCGGACTTCGCTCGCTGTCGCCCTGGGACCCGACACTGTCTCGGTGCGGAGTCTCCGTCTCCCGCCGCCCCAGTCATTTTCCTGCTCTAATTCCTTCATTTCCTGTCTTCCATTGATGTTTGAAGTCTGTTTGAAGCAATCTGTGAACATTTCAAAAAAGAACACGTTGAAAAACCAATGATGCACCAGGTAGGCCCTAGAGGTGTGTGGCACGGTCCATGTTAGCCTCCACCGGGCTATGCTATAGATGATAAAAGAGCTGTCTAGTTTGGCGCCTGTCTCTCCCCATGAGATTTGTGATGACACCCCACCAAGGCCTACTTGCGATGGCCTCCAACCTACTTGCAATGGCCTCCAACCTTCTAGCAATGGACCCTTCTTTTGCGTTCGAACCTAGACCAAGTTCAGACAGGCGTGTTGGTGTTTGGCATGGTCTATGTTGGCCTCCACCGTGCTAAAAGAGCTGTCTAGTTTTGCACCTGCAGTACCTCGCTTGAGACTAACGTAGACCATGTTCAGGAGGCCCCTAGAGGTATGTGACATGGTCCATGTTAGCCTCCACCGGGCCATGTTGATCTCTACCGGCGCGGTCTATGTTAGCCTGCGTTCAGTTTATAGTCAGAGTGCAGTTGGTCCATGTTAGTGTCAAAATCGATCATAGACTGAGAGTGGGAACGGTCCAGCAATTGCCAAAAAAGGCGCTAATACCGTTTCCCCAGGAAGTCACCGTTTCCAGTGGTCCATGTTAAAGCGCACTTGAAATTGAGTTCTGGTCTATGTTGCTTTTCCCCGAAGTATATAATATATATATATATTATTTCAATCTTAAAGATTATGCATTAGCTGTTTTTGCGTCATCGGATCCAGACGTGGCTGAACACCTTTTGCTTGGAAGTGCTTTACATTCAAACAATCTATAGACACACGCCATCATCAGAAGGCATGGACTGACTGCACAGAACCTACTATTACATACTACATACTGGTATGGACTTGCTTGGTTGGAAGATTGCTTGGAGAAATGGTCATGATATTCAAACGTATTCTTAAACATATTTGAGGTTGAGAGAGCACGTCTCAAATCATTCCTCAAACCAGATGCGATACTTGCTCCGAGGGCCGGCCGAGCCCGTTGCTTGTGGGGGAACTGAGGATGGACATGACCTGGTCAGGACTAGGTCTAATGCCAGCAATTTCGAAAGCACCGTACATAATTTCCATTGTGTTGGGGGAGGTCAACGGTTCAAGGAATTTCAATGTTGCCGTAGTAGTTCCCTGCGATCCTGTTGCCCAAGTACTTGTCCCTGAAAAACTTTGCTTCAGGGTCAGGGAATCGAACTTGGGTGTGTGCATGTGTTTACTGTATCATTTTTGCACGAATCGTTGATGTACTGTATATGATATATGATTTGGACAAAAACACCGGGAAGTGTGCTACCCTGGCGGACGCCACTTGTGTTTGTCATCTCCTGAGTTGACCGGTCTGACCGGTGACCAATGACGGGTTGAAGGTGGGCATGTGAGCTACGGGCAGCTACGGCCAAAAACACCGAATAGATGTTTTGTGTTTTCATTATTTAATACATCCAATTTCTGCCACGATGCGCACAAGAACTGACCTGTACCCGTCCTCAAGGGCAAGGGTGACCTTGAAAGATTCGCCCCAAGTCAATGCCAAATCCTAGTGGTGGGAGGGTCAGCCTGTTCTAAAGAAAGTGCTTATTAGTGCCAGATGGCTCAAAAGCCGTTTATCAAGAACCCACCCGAGATGAAGCGGGCAGAAGCATGAGGTTGAGCAGAGCCCACAGGCTACCGCACAGGCCTGGGCGCTTGCTGCCGGAGTTGGTCCGACTTGGACTCGTTTAACACGAAAATTTTGTACACGCCATATCCTGGGCTAGGCGGCCGGGCTGCCCGGCTGAAGTTGGAAGTGGCATGGACGCGAACTCTTCCACGTCACCTTTTGCAGCATAGTGCCAGTATGCAAATGTAAAGAGGCCCCTGGGGCTCCAACCACATCCTCAGAAGTTAGACTCCCCAAACCCACTCGAGACGGAGGTAGTTGGAGCCTTATGAAGGAGACATGCAACAACCTTGCCAGGTACACTTTAACCCCTCTGAAGACTAACATACCCTGCAAACCACTGGTTAGTAGAGGAAAACAGCCTATCCAGGTGCCATTCTTAGGGTCCATTTGTTAGTTGAATCCCTGGTCTCAGTTTGGGACCGGCGGCACCAGGCCAGAACGGCCCTCACCAACTCGTGGCAGAGCAGTCCACTTTGGGCTGCACCGGCTGCTCAGTCGCGGGAAGATGAGATGCTGCGACTGAGGGGGTTGCAACTTAATCAGAAGACCCCAAACCAATAGGTTCATTAAGTTGCAAACCCCTCAATAGGTTCGGATAGGTTTGGTATCTTCTGATTAAGACCAATTAACCAATAGGTTTTGGATGGTCTTGGTCTATTTTCCCCTTCTTCCAAGGGGTCTCGGGAGGTCGACCACAGATCTCACGGAGTCACTCACCAGCTGGAGATTGGACCAGCAATTCGATTCAGAGGTTCCAAGGCCAGGAACTGCCCCTCAACTTGTGAAGAAGGCGCCAGAAATCCAAAGCATATCCAAAGATCGCGCGCGCTCTGCGAGGCCATGAGCTCGCCGCCCACCGCCCAGAGTGCACCGTGCGCGCAGCGGGCGTGCGCGGGCGTGCCATCCAGCTCCAAGAAGGGCGGCACAGGTCCAGCGGGCGCATGGTGTGGCAAGGGATGAAGGATGGTGGTTTGTAGGTCTTTCAACCTAGACGGTCCAACTCTCAAGGCTAGACTAAGCACAGCAGACCATAAAACCCCACAAAATCACCGGTACGATTTGCACTTGCAGGAAATCACTTCAGCACTCGATTGAAGAGTTTTGAGGCATGCGCATGGCCCAGCCAGCTTAAGTCCTGACGTGTCCCTACATGCTCCACATAGACCACATTTCTTGGAGCACTTTTTCGTGCAGAACATGTTGCAGAAAGAGTAGGGAGAGAGAGAGAGAGATAGAAAGAAAGAAAGAAAGAAGGCTGTGGGTTTACACCTCTTTCCCATGATCAAATGATCAGAAATTCCGTTTGGTTAGCCCGATTAATGGCAATTGTTATCCCTTGTTTGTGGAGTATTTTTCACCATTTGCCCCTCCACCGTCTCCTCCACCGCTTGAGGCAAAAGCCCAGCTCTTCCGACGGATGTGAAGGACGGGGGCCGGGGGCCTTTATTGGTCGGAGCGTGCGAGGCAGGGATCCAGGAAGTGATTTCGGGTGAAGGATGGGTGACCTCCAAAGCAGGTTGGAAATTTGGCCCATGTTGGTCAGGTGGGCAGCGTGGTCATGTGTCATGAGCTTTTTGCATTTTCCCAAACAGTGTGGTAACACTAGGGGTTCTTACGGTAATAGTTAAGTTAAGGCCGGGTGTCTAATCGGAGGTGCTTCTTCGAAGTGCATTTCGACCCCGCAGGCTCGCAGAATCTGGTGGACTGGCGCAGGTGCTCTTCGGGACTGCGTTCTCGCTGTGATGCCGCGCGCATTTTGGAACTTGACGATCACTTTTCGTGGCAGGCGCGACGGAAACGACAGGCGCAGGAGATCGGAGCGTTTTTACATCGATGTCTCAAGCGAAAGCTGCGCTTTGGCATTTTTATGTTGTTGCTGCGAATCGCCTTGGCAGGGCTGCGCGATGTGAGCGTTGATGTCATCAGAGTGCAGATTTCGTGGCAGGCGCTGTATGTTGTGAGCCTTGAAGTGCAGATTTCGTGGCAGGCGCTGCACTTTGTCATCAAAATTGAGGTGTGGACTTCTGGGGCAGGCGCAGTATTTTGTGCAGCTGTCGTGGCAGGCGCAGTACTTGAAGGCGCAGCTCTTTGTGGACCCTGAAGTGTGCTGGCAGGCACCGTTTTTGGTGGACCTTGGACCTTGAAGTGCAGTCCTCGTGGGGGGCGCGGCTTTCATATGTGTACTCTCATCCACGCTATTGTGTGTGTTCTCCAGGCCTCCAGCCCATCTCTCTCCACCTCTAGTAGTAGACCTCTGGAAGGTATAAACATGGCTTGTGAACCATCACCACCCCCACCATCACCATCACCGCCACCATCACCACCACCATCCCCACCACCATTGCCACCACCCATCACCACCATCATCACTACCAGGAACCCAACGCGCCTATATTGCCCGCCAAGGACATAAGAATCAGCGAAAGTACTTTCGAACGTGAAGTCAAAAGTCATAATGCAAAATCTGAAAAGGCAAAAAATCCACAAGACTCAGGTCATGAGCCTTTGGATGCAAAAACCACAGAAATAAAACCTAGCCCTTCCACAAGTCCTATCTCATTAGACCAGTTGGGGCATGTTTGGAGCAAACAGGGCACCATGACATAGGTTTTATGGAAAAAAACATGCCGCCAGTCCCATGCCACTACTTCAGGGCCTAAAGCCTAAGTCATCCGCGCAGCATATAGATCTCTAGACCTTTTGCTTCTACACTTCTAGACCTTGGGGGAGGCCGGGAAGCTGCACTTCTGTGCTTCAGGAACTCAGGGAACCTTCGCAGGCCCCACTCCGAAACCCAGCAGAAATGACATTTGTTCATTGCGTTTCCAGCTTCAGGAGAACAAGGACGAGAAGAAGAAGGACCGCCAACATCCGGGGTGCCGTGGTTTAAGATGGGCGGGTGGCGCAGCGTGTTCAACTCCAAACATCTTGGAATTGGATTTGGGCGGTGGTATCGTTCGCGATGTTTCAGGTCCTGCTAAATCATAACCTTACTCCATGCTCAAGAGGTGTTTTTTGGAGTAAGGGGCGGCCATCCTTTGATCCTCAGAATGTGTGTGGCGGTGGTGGAGTTGATGTCTTTCGAGGTGAGTAAATAGTCATACCCGACTTGGAGGATTGTGGAGCGACTAGTCATATCCCAGAGGGCCCCTCAAAGCCCCTTTGAGGTGGAGAGTATTGAGTGGGTCTTAGAATCAAATTGTTCCAGGAGCATGGTCAGGGAGCAACGTGACGGATCAAGTCTATGCCCAGCCATGCCCAGCATTCACATTGGGTGGAATCAAATGCTTTGCGTGCACTCTTCCCAAAACAGAGATTTGTTCACAGTGGGTAGGCCCATGATGATGCCATGCTGGGTTCCGAGAGAAGGACTCAGGGACTCAGGTTCGGTGCTTTGGATGAACAACTCATAAGAGTGCAGCACAACTGGTGAACGAAGTGCTCATGACCTAAACCTTTTCAGGGAGAGTAGGTATTCATTCTTTCAATTTCTGACATGTATTCTTGTTTCTGGAGCTCCCATCTAGAGTAGCATGTGTCAGGTTCTGCACAGAGTTCGGTCTGGAATTTGCCCCTTGCTGCTCAGGTGCTGCTGCTAATTGGCAGCTCCAAGTCGGCAATGTGTTTCACCCAGACCCATCAAAAAGAAGCAAAAAGTGCCAGCCGCGAGTGCTGGAAAACATGGTCTCAAAGCAGCAAAGCCATATCAACACATGATTGCCGTTGCCGTGCAAAAAGGAACTCGTGCTACGTCTCCCCGCTACATCTCCCCAGAAGTAAACTTCTGGCTTCAATCTAAAAACCGTTTTGCACAACCACCTCCTGCAAAGAGCCGCCTTTTGGATCCACTTGGTCGTTTAAACCCAAGCGTTTTGAGGGTGCCAGACACTGGTTGTCGTCCGCAGAGTAGTTGAGGGCGTCCAACTTGTCGCTGAGAAGCGGGTGGGTCCTCCAACTTCCTACGGTGCCGTTAGAAGATTGCTGGCTCAAAAAGTGGATGAGAGGAGGAACCGCAGTCGACTGTGTCTGAGACGGGGCGTTTCTCGTGTGTATAGATCCCTCTTTTCTCTTTGGACGAGTGCCCTTGAGATCTCCGGTCCGCCAATGCCGGTCCCAAAACTGCAGGACTTGGTGGCCGAAGAGGACCAGGGCGACCGAGAGGCCCTGCGCCAGGCGAGCGAATGCGAGCGAGAAAGAGGCCTCTCGGTTCGCTCCAAGGACCTGATCTTGACGGTTGATGCATATCAATCCCATGCAAAAATGATCCGCAATAGGGATGTTGTATGATGTTGCACCATCCGAGTATGGGTCGCAAGTGAGCGCATCCGAGTATGGGTAGCTTTAGGAATCAGTATTATGCTGTCATTCTATGTTCCATGCCCGGCAATGGCGACGCTTCATGTATAAATATGTATATACAGGAAGTGCATATACAGATATATGTATACATATATAATATATACATACACAAATATATATATATATGGTACTTTTTGTTTGTTAATGCACGTTTTTTTGTGCGGATGTTTGCCCCCCATTTGGAAAGTAGACAATCCCCGCACCGACTTTTTCGGAACACAACATGTTGGTCAAACCGTTCATTCTCCAAGGGGAGGAGTGTGATTCGTCACCGCCACTTTTTCAACCCAAGGCTCAAGAGTGAGTGATCGGAGAGAAGCCACCAAACTTACAGTTCTTCACATACAACCAGCAACTTGAGATGAAGCTTCTCACACTACCCTTCTTCGGCAACGGTCCACTCATGCCAGGCTGCAGGACAACGTGCATTTGCTGAGAGCACAGAGGATCGTGGCACACAGGGACGCGGATTGTGGTTGTCGTCAGTGCCTTTGGTATCGTCAATCATGTCAATCTTCGACATCCTGGAGGGGAAGAGTTATCAACCTCAGGGACTAGAACCAAGGAAGACCTCTAGGAGTTACCAACCTGTAGGGAAGAGCTTCTTGGTAGCACCAAGAATGTCAACCTCAGGGACCTGAAACGGGTAGAGGGGAAGGCTTGAGTAGATAAGGCATATACGGTACCTTAGTTAATTATTCCAGGTGTTATGTGGGTTAGTGGAATATTTTTTTTGGAATATTTTTTTTGAATAATTAGGTAGGGGGAGGGGGGGGGGGGAGGATCATCATATTTTTTTTAAGAATAATTTTTTATATGTATATATATAAATTCATAAACATACATAAAAAAAATTAACAACACAATAAAAAACTTTAACAAAATCATATATAATATAAAATAAAGTTTTCAGAAGGCCTTCAAAATTCAGTTGAGATTTCTAGCATTGACAAACACGTGCATTTGGTAAGACCACCAAAATAGCACAAAATAAGAAGATGCCTCATGAGAAACAAAACACAAAATACTGGAAGTTCGATAGGTGTTTTAGAGTGAGCCTTCAAAAAACAATTGAGATTTCTAGCACTAGCAAACACAATAGTTTTGGAAGACCACAGACAAGCACACACTAAGAAGATGGCTTATTAAAAGCCAACACGCAAAATTATGGAAATTCAATCGGTGTTTTGGAGGGAGCCTTCAAAAACAATTGAGATTTCTAGCACTAGCAAACACAATAGTTTTGGAAGCCACAGACAAGCACACACTAAGAAGATGGCTTATTAAAAGCCAACACACAAAATCATGGAAATTCAATCGGTGTTTTGGAGGGAGCCTTCAAAAAACAATTGAGATTTCTAGCACTAGCAAACACAATAGTTTTGGAAGACCACAGACAAGCACACACTAAGAAGATGGCTTATTAAAACAAACAACACACAAAATAATGGAACCCCAATTGGTGTTTTGGAGGGAGCCTTCAAAAAACAATTGAGATTTCTAGCACTAGCAAACACAATAATTTTGGGAGACCACAGACAAGCAAACACTAAGAAGATGTTTCATTAAGATGCAACACACCAGAAGCAAGCAAAAGGTAGAGGGCATACAAAGTTGTGCGTGTTTTTTTTTTGGGGGGGCGGGGGAGGGGTCCGGCGCTATTGGCAGTCCGTCGCGAGTACGGTCCAAGATGACGTCTGAAAGCGTGAGTAGTCCACCCAGTGGGCTTCCTGCTCTTTGCCATGTGCTCACATGTGGAGCAAATATGTCGCCGCCAGTCTGGAACAAAAAACATAACGTATGGGTTTCCAGCTGTGACTCTTGGATCAAATTATTTTTTTTTAATAGTTTGTTTTGTAAGTTTGGTTAATTCTTGTCTTATGTTTTTGACAGATCGTTTACCAATTACTAGTCTAGATGGTGTATTTAAAAAAAACAAAACAAAACAAAAAAAACATGTCACAGGATTGCGAGATGTTCACCTCTGATGGTGGAAAGCGTGCTAGCCATCATCAGTATGTGTGGGTGGAAGGCGCATGGCAGAAGACAGTCAGAATTTCTGACTTCATGAAGAAAGTGGCCAAGGGCAGCTTACAGCTTGACGTTGCATCTTGCACAAACACATATATATATGTTTTATTTTTTGTTTTTTTCTCACCATATGGTTTGAAGCTCATCTCACCCTCCTGGATTCAACTCGCCCCAGGAGAAGAAAGAAGAGATCAAAGGTGTCTCATCAGTGCCGCCTGGTGAATTGTCCCTTGTTCAGGCGGAGGTCTCTTCACCAAGCAGCTCAGCACAGGCCAAGCCTTCTGATATGATTCCAATCGGTGACATGAAGCGAGAGACCCTTCTGACTTCATCTATCAGCGCATCAAATCAAACACAGCTTTCTGCAATGAATGGAATTGGTGATGATGCTCCTAAAGATGTTTCAAAGGCACCTAGATTAGATTTGAAATATTGTCTTTTTTTTTGGATGTTGGGGGAAGGAACATGCTGAGGTTTGTTTTGTTTTCTTTGATTATATTTGCTCAGGCAGAAGTGAAGGTTGCGGGTTTGCCTTCGCATTTGCCTGCTACGTTTCCACCAGGAGCAGCAGCACCAGAGACTTCAGAGGCTGTGCAGGATCACGATGCTACTTTGAAGAACGAACCAGAGTCAGAGGGCAGCAAGGTTTCCTGGATTCCAGAAGATGGCTTCGGCGATGAGATCGTGGATGCACACGTTCGCCTTCCATTTAAGGAGCTTTGCCTTAAATATCAAATTTATTATTGTTATGTTTTATTTTTCCATATGTAGTATATTTTTTCATTGTTTTTTAAATAAATATGTTGTTTAAGTATTGTTTAAAATATAAAAATATATTTATTCACCACAATGACTTGATCGCAGGTCTACGAAAACGAGAAGCATTGCCCCAGATCTTTTGGGCTGGTGCTTCCAAGGGAGGAGGCTATGTCTGAGAGCGACTTCTACAATCAGCCCTTCAAAGAGCAGCAAATTGTCTGCTATAGTTTATGTATCTTTTGAATTTATTTTTTTTGTTTTTTTGTGTTTTTTTTTTTTTGGGGGGGGGGAAGATCCTTGGTATCAATTGAATACATTTCTTTGTCAGGCGTCCTTATTGGGAGACATCCCTACAAGAGTTGAGTGCATGGACCAGATTTGCAGAGCAGCGTGATGCAGGGCAGAATGAGAACATTGGGGAGGCCTTTGGTCGCTTGAACCTTGAGGTCAAGAACAAATTGGTGGCGAACAGCCCTGTTCGTGTCTGCAGGTGGAAGTTTCCCAAGTTCGTTTCGCACTTTGAGAAAGCAGGTGGTTTGTCAGCCTCCTGATTGTGCAAGATGTGTGTTTTTTTTTTTGGGGGGGGGGGGGGGGGAGAGATGTTTTGTTTATGTGGGGATTGCTTATGTGTTTGAAGGATAGTTTGTGTGTTGCTTGTCAGTGTGCTGATGAGGCTCAGACAGGGAACTCGGAGGAGATGTGGCTGGACATTGAGCGTGATTTGCTGATGCGTTGGCCAGATCAGCCTTTCTGCGAAGGACTGGTATTTTTTTGTCAGTCTATGTAGCCTGAAATAAATATTCCTGAGGTTTCTCAGATCCAAATGACTTTTAGAACATTTTTGTATTAGAGTTTTATTGCTTTATTTTTAAATTTCTTGGTGATCTAAAACTATTCCTATGGTTGTTGAGATCCAGAGTACTTCTCAAACAAATATATGTATGTTCAATATAAAATAATGGATTAATAAATTTGTTTTTAATATATATTAGGAATAAATATTCCTCAAGTGTGTAGGAACTTACATACTCTGAGAATAATTTGCTGATGGCCCTGACAATGGTCAGGGGAGAAGGCACATTTGGGACAAGTTCTGCATGGGATGTCAAGACTACTGCGGTCAGAGTACGGCAATGGATGGCCAGAGCATGCTGCTTTAATCTTCCCTGCAGTTCTTGATCGGGTCGAGGTTCTCAAGCTTCAGGGCTACCCTGGATTGATGCTGGCGGTTGTGTATCTTAGCTGTGCTTGTTTGTTTAGTATCTTTCAATTGTGTGTATTTTTTTTGTTGATATATATTTTATTATATTTTGAAACAAACAAAGCCAACAATGTGCCAGGTATTCGGACACACACCAAGCTTTGATGGTGATACGGCGTGGTGAATGGAAGGCCAGAGTTTATGATGGCATGAAGGATTCAGTAGTCTTCGATACTGCGGCTGAATATT